GTGGTGTATTGGGCTAAGGCAGAGAATAGTACGCTATCGGTAACATATAGAGGGTCAGTTCATGGAGCCAGATTAAGTTAACAATAAACTAGCGCAACGGAAAAAAAAATATTAAGACCTTAATACAATAAAACAGAGTGCATAAAGCAGGCATGCATAGGAGACAAAACTGAGCGAGGTCACTCTTCATGCTGGTGGATCCTGTTTCTGCTGATCTTGAACGGGGTGATATGGTCAATAGACAATGACTGGCGGTGAGCTCCTGAGAAGGATCCAGCTGGTACACCCAACTCCTTAAGTAGGGAGGGTGCTTTGGGGAGATGCGCAAGGGAGTGGGTTCTCCCATTGTTCTCCACAAGGAGCCAATGTATGCACCACTTATAGGGCACATTGTGATCCCACAGGTGCTGGGTAAGTTGTTGAATGAGTTGTTGGACGATGTGGCAGGACATATCGCAGTAGAAGGTGAGCATGCTGCCTTCAAAATTCATAAATGGGTTGCTTCTCGTCGCCCCTATGACCATCCCTCGGTCAGAGTCCCGTACAAATTTAATGAGAGAATCTCTTGAAGTCTCTGGGGGCGCCCTAGTGGTTTTCGGTAAACAGAAACATTAGTCAATAACTGCCATTTTGGCTTTTTTCTACGGTAGCAGCGCAGCTAGGAGCTGTCGAATAAAGTAAGGCAGTTCATCCACAGTGAGGCTCTCAGAGACCCCTCTGAGCTCTTAGTCTGACATTTCTTGTCTTGGTCCTGTTTTCCAGGGCGACCATGCGACAAAGCATGTCAGTGTTGCTCTTTTCTATTGTGACAAGAGCCGCATCTGTGGCTATTTGTGCCACCTTTGTGGCACCCAAATCTGTAACAAGTCTGTTGGTGAGCCACGTCCGCCTGAAACATAAGTTTATGAAGTAGAGACTTGCTATCTGTCTTAGTGGAAGGAGCAGTATCTCAAGCTGCAAGGGCCCTTGGGTTACCACAGGTGCTAGATAGCCATTCAGGCAGGCTTTCCTCATCCGAGTAAGCTCAGGTAGAGGTCTCTACCGGTTTGGGCCTAACAAGCTGGGGCAGAAATGTCCCAATATCTTGGGATCCAGGGTTTGGATCGTCCATGTTTTTTAGTTTTCTTCCCCATTAGCCTAGGGCAGCACAAAACCAGGATACACCACTGACTGTGATACACACCATACATTACTCTGGGTTTTATTGCTGTGGATCTCTGTGATACACACCATACATTACTCTGAGTTTTATTGCTGTGGAGCTCTGTGATACACACCATATATTGCTGTGAGTTTTATTGCTGTGGAGCTCTGCGATATACTAATACACACCATACATTACTGTGAGTTTTATTGCTGTGGAGCACGGTGATACACACCATACATTACTTTAAATTTTACTAAACTGTTCAACTGAATTGTTCATCACCTTCCAGTTTTCGCTCTTGTATGAGTATCCTGAGTGCCTTGCTGCTCATCACAGACTGGCAAATGATATATATAAAGGGGGGCAGGGGCGCATTGAAGATTGAGGCCTTAATCATAATCATCACCACCAGGCCTAATAGGCTCCTAATCCGGCAGTGTATAAAAGTAATAAGTGAAAGGTCTTGAAGACACCAACCCAACAATTGTTTATTAAAGTGATGGATAACCTGGGACTTTTGGGGTTTTTACTTGCTATTCAGAATGTATGTATTTTAACTTGTCGTTATACTGAATATCTGAATTTTAACTTGTCATTACACTGACTTGGAAGCACCAAGCATCCTGTGCAGAACCTTATAACGGCACTGTAAATTTTGCCCAGAGGGGGAGAGGGGGGAAGGGGGAGGAATATTATTTAGAATTTGTTTAATGATAAAACCATCAAAGAATTCACTAGAAATTGTACCAGTCAAAATGTAACACTGGCACAGAAGGAACTAGGAATTCAAATAAGAAGGTAAAATAAATTGGAGCTATTAATATAATATGACCATATTTAATGCACAAATTACTTGAAAGGGACTCAGTCAGTACAAATATACCAGTGGCATTCAAAGAATTAAAAAAAGTAATTTAGATACATAGCCAAGAAACAGAGACAACTAGAAATAGCTTCAATAAAAAATGTATGGCATCCTTTTGAAATGGTGCACATAAAATGTCAGGTGTCAAATAATAATAATATGAGCAATGTGTTCAAAGGGGCCTTAAAGGAGCACTATAATGCCAGGAAAACAAACTCGTTTTCCTAGGCACTATAGGGTCATTAGGTCCCCTCCACCCTCATGGCCCCCCTCCCACTGGGCTGAAGGGGTTAAAACCCCTTCAGCCACTTACCTTTCTCCAGTGCCGGGTTCCCTCTGTGCTGGGGAACTCTCCTCCTCCTGCCAACGTCAATGCCAAATGCGCATGTGCACCAAGGGCCATGCGCATTCAAACCGCCCATAGGAAAGCATTACTCAATGCTTTCCTATGGACGTTCAGTGTCTTCTTACTGTAATTTTCACCGTGAGAATCGCGGAAGCGCCTCTAGTGGCTGTCAGTGAGAGAGCCACTAGAAGCTGGATTAACCCTCAGTGAAACATAGCAGTTTCTCTGAAACTGCTATGTTTTCAGCTGCAGGGTTAAAACTAGAGGGACCTGACACCCAGACCACTTCATTGAGCTGAAGTGGTCTGGGTGCCTATAGTGGTCCTTTAAGGGGTTACATAGATAGAGTAAGGGAATAAGGTAACCCTACGCTGAACTAAATATTAGTCAGGGAATTGTTTGCAACGTAAAGGAAATACAACTGCCTGGCTAAGAGAGGTGGGAGTATTAGTTCACAACCTTTGATTTGATGCTATACCTGGTTGAGACCAATGGAATTTGGAATTTAATATATTGTACTAATAAATAATTTTACATATATTACCTATTATATTATTATTTTTTATCTTTATTTATTGTTCCTGGCATATCCTAAGGTGGGGATCATACCACCCACGCGAAAAATAGAGTGCAGATTGACCTGCACTCTACTTGTGAGTATATTTTATTTATTTTTAACTCTTCATACTAACAACCTCAACAGTGAGCACTATTGGCTGTTTTTATTTTCTTTTCCTGAGAATTGGATACCATCTCCAGGAGGACAAGCACCCCCATAAGCGGAGGGTTATCCGCCGTATGCCCATCATACTAGAGCTGGTCCTAGCTCATGGAACTGTGAGTGTGTAATTTATATTTTAATTTCACAATTATTATTTATACACTCTGCACAATTGGCCCTTTCCCATTGTGTCTTTCATATCGTGAGACGGACGACTATTATCAAAGAAGACACCATATCAGTTGAGGCATCATCCATTATTGGGACTCTTTTATTAGAATATTTTATCTTTATTTGATTTGGACTTGTTTTATTACCCCTTTTGGCGCAGCCTTATTTCTTTTGTTTCAATGGAATTTACAGTCTACTTTTTTTTAACTTCTGCCATTCCGATTTTTGTGTTTCTCTATCAGACTAATTCAAAAGTGTGAATTGATTCCAATTTAAAGTGAATTTAAAATATAGGGCTAAAATAGCCAGAGCAAACACAGAATTAACTTGAAGAATTTTTCTTTATCAGCTAATTTAGCCTATATTTTGCAAGTTACTTTGAATTCCTGCCAATTCTCACTTTTGTGAATAACCCTGATAGTCTTTTTTAACCAAGAGGTTTGAATGCTAATTGCCATGGAATCTTTTAAATATCAGTGTGTCAATTCATGTTTGAGTTACCAATGTTCAAATGGGACAATAACAGTAACCAAGTAATTAGAATCTGGCCAACTGGTAGGTACAGTTATTGTCCAATTAGTGTGAAAGAACCAAATGCAGACTTCGTTGTTCCCTTAAATGGGGAATTGTGGAGAATGAATTGGGAAAAGGCACATTTTAGGATAAAAACTGAAGAAAAAGAAAGTAAAAACTACAACTCGTATTTGCTATGTCAACTATTGTAGGCTAAAATTTGCAATACCTTTATCAAATCTCATAATTCCTTGGTTAGTAAATAGTATAAATAAATTGTTTGCCTGTGTGACCCTAACATTCAAAAATCCTTGGGATTGGGTTCAAACCATGAGATTTACCAATTAAGGATATAACAAATTATTAATGATTAATATGATTAGTATTATATTTATCAACATGACAATGGCTTTTGGTGCAAGTATGTAACATTATAGAATGCTATCGTTATAAAGCTTCTACTAATGCGCATTTTTCATATTACCTATAATAAAAAAAATCTCAGCTCCTTTCTGCTGAGACTTGTTCACTAAACAGCAAGCTATTATTGACGAATTGGAGGATTTTTTTTCAGATCAACAATTTTAGCCTCCATTTTGCTTTTTAGATTCTAATTCTCCGCCATTCGAACTTTAGTAAAATAGCCCTGTTGACGCAAACTTAGCTGCAACAAAATTTTTTTTTAAAAAAATAAAAAATCTATAACCCATGAGATGTTAATGCACATTGTGCAAGTTTATTTTATCCCCATATTATACGCCACAGTTTAATTCTTGCTAATGTTTTCCTAGACAGACTGAAAAACTGCAGCAAAGGAATGCAATTCTCATCATCCTCAGTCAAATGCTTGAAAAGGTCAGAGATCATTTTCTAGGCCATGTTGTTAGCAGCCTGATGGAATGGTATAATCTTTTTGGCCAACTACTTCAAATCTCCACAGGGTGCATAGACCCATTGACTTATTTATCCCACTTGACCTTGGCTGTTACCCTCAATAGCTCCTTAACACCCATGCAGCGCAAACTAACAAACTAACAATGTAACTAAGATCAACAAGCAGGTGATCAGGGAGACGTGTTACATGCAGATTGGCCTCCGGACGGTCATGTTTCCATACACCTGTAGATGGAGCTCTAAAGACCCCAGCCGAAGATTGCCGAAAGCGTTGACGGAAAAAGCCGAAAGAAATCTGGCCAGGTAGCTCTTACCTGCATGACCACGTGGGAAGGGGGAGGGACAGCCACATCCCAAATGACAAGTCAACAGCCATTGCAAAGAGCTTTGTAGGGGCGCAGCCTGCATTGTATTGGCTCTTACACAGGAGTGCAAAACAAAAAAAAGAGGCAAAACCTGCCTTCCCCTCCCCTTCCCCCAACCTGGGTCCTCCTGTAGAGTGTGTGCAGGTCCCCAGGGTGTCTTGTTCCATATCTATAGGTGGAGGTGATTCAAGGTGTAGGGTGTTGTCTTTTTTTGGGGGTATCTTTATTTTCACTTTGGGGGTAAGGTGAAAGATTTATATATTTTTGTTTTGGTTCATTTTTTTGTGTGTGTGTGTGTACAGAGAGATTTACCCAAATTTATTTATTTTTTTTTAAAAAAGAAGAGGAAAAAAAAAAAACTTAAAAAAAAAAAAAGACTAAAACAAATTCACAATGACTGCGGCTTCCCCGGATTACCTGGTGATTTTGTTCACTACCACTGCGGGTGCTAATGGCAGTAAATTGGGCTCTGATGAGAAGGAAGTGATCCAGCTGTTGTGGAAAGTCATTGATCTGGCCAGCAAAAAGGTGAGTAGTAATAATAATTCAAATTATATGATTTGTGGGTGGGGTGTGGAAATATCGGCTTACTAAAATATCAAGACATTAAAAATGAAACTATAGCTAACTATATCTTTCACATCCAGAAGCTTCCATTAGTTCCACCATATTATAGACAATACATATACTACCCCTTTAAATAAGTGTTTTTAAGTAATACACCACGCAGGGCAACCTGTATTTCAATACAACCTTGCAGTGATTCTAGTAAATGTATCAAGGATTTACATTCTATATCCTTTATACTGATTTAAATGTAAACTATAATTCACCCTAGCAGGTCACACTGACCTTTTTTTAAACGTTCTGAGCGTTTGGAACCCTGTTGAACCCCGCTACAGACTGCGTTGGTGTATTATGGAAACCAGCGAAGGTTACTAATGAGGAAATCTGTGCATGTTGGGCCTGCACTGGCGATTGGTAATAGGAAATGCACATTGTTTGATTATAGTTCACTGTCTGGATCGGTGTAATACAGAGGTAAACTTGTTTCTTCTTGAACTGATACACACTGGGTTTAATCTTTTTGTTGCAGGCGGGGGAGTTACATGAAGTTAAAGTCAGACCTGATCACTTGGATCTGACAGAAGAATGCAAAGAAGCCCAAATCGAACCAGAAAGTCTATACACAGCTCCTCAGCTTGAGCAGGCTCTACAGCAGGTGAGAGAGCTCTCTTCTTCCCCAGGACTACAAGGAAAACGTGGAAGGCAAATGACTTGTTTAGGGATCTGGCTGTTTCAGTTGCATTGTGAAGTGTATCCATAAAATTGTGTTGTTTGCTGCTGTTGTTGTGGTTGTTTTGTTTGAGAATTCAAAGTGAATTTAATATTGTAGGCCAAAGTTGCTGTTTTTACAAAAATAAAATAAAAAATGAATAAATTTGTAACTAAGCTATGGTTATATTTTGGCCTCCAACTGGAAATTCACATGGAGAGTCTGACAATTCACACTATAGTAAATAATCCTGCATGTACCTGCTTGGGACTTGCACTTAGTCTAATAAATGCTATGTGCTTAACCTGTTAGAGAGACAGTCCATCAGCATTAAATCTGACCAGTTTGTCTAGTACTGAGAGAGCTTGGACCTTGTTTATTGAGTAACTTGTGCTTATAGGAAACTGCTGGGTGGGCTGGCCAAAGTGGTCTAAATGAAGGGTGGCCAAATGCAAAATATCTAGCTGAATGACAGCTGCTTTGTGGACAGCAACACATTGGGAAGTTGTAAATAGTTTTATTTGGGCACTACCCCTAACTCTCAATCCCACATATTAAACTCTTAAAGACACAGCTTCACAAAAAGGCCACCATGAGGGAAAATGTCTGCCACGTGTCCTTAAGGGGTTAATAGAAATTTATTTTAATTTATACTAGATTGCAGTTTGCACTGGAAGCCATTTTGACACTCACCCCACCTAATGTGGGTGTGTGTGTGTACACTCTTGCTATAAACAACCTGTTCTGTATAGTGCATTAATGGCCACCTTTTCGTACTAGATATAATATCCACAGGTTACACCTCAGGGAATGTAGTCAAACATTGCTCTGTTTTCAAAGGCATGCCATTATAGTTTTATTGGTTGATAACATATAGACCATTAGATTGCTTTTATAACAGTTAAACATGACTTTTCCTGTTTTTTGGGTGACATTTTGGAATGCTGTTACTCTGGTAAATTGCAAAGCTCCTTTTTGCCTCACACAGTATTGTCTGTTTGCCAATCCTTATTCACAGCAGGTTCTACAACTTGCTTACCCCTCCCAGCCTGTCATGTAGACACACCTCACCCAACCCAGCCAATTATTTAAATCTGCTAGGATATATGTGCTCTCTGCATCAAAGTTACACAATGGGGTTTATTTAGTGAATCTGAAATTGTCTAGCGTTTACCATGCAATTGTGACAAATAAAACCAGTTAGTATAAGTGGAAGCGTTCTTACTTGGCTATATTTACCCCATTTTGGCTATATTGTCTATTCTGTACAATCTGTTTGGGGAATAAAACTCGTTAAATCTCCCATTGGTTCATCATTTAGAGTTCAGATTTTTTGCATAGAATTCCCAATTTAAATTGTATTGCAAGCTCGGTGAAGAATCATGGGAAGTTGATTACAATTTACCAATCATTTAAGATGGCAATGTCTACTTTTTTGCCATAGTAGTGGCCCACTCTCACTGCTTTATTTCTTTGTTTTTGTGGGGAGAAATGATTTTGATTGAAAGAATTTTTTTTTTTTTTGTAAATGTAATGTACCACTTGACCATTTTTAACTGAAATGTGGTTGTAATGTTGTTTATGTATGCCATCTATCCATCCATAGCAAAATTAAGGTTGCCCAGGGTGCCCCGTCCAAGTGCCCTGGGCTGTGTGTGTTTGTGTCTTTGTCTACTTGCTGAAGTTTTTTGGTGGTCCGGTGTGGTAGCTCCAACATCTTTACCATTATCAAGTACAGACCACTTTAAGAAAGCCCTCAAGATTCCGCCATTCAATAATTCATAGCGCCTGCTGAGGCGCTTTGTTGTAGATTTCTTTTTAATGAAATGGTTTTTCATTTATTTTTGTTTTCTGTATGACCTCAAAAGTATATCAACATTGGTTACAGAGGGTGGTATGCGCAGGTACCTCTAAAAGTTAAATAGTAAGGCGCTCTAAGTTGTTGACAAGCGCCGAAGTGGGCTGTACCTGATATTGGAACAAACCACATTGCTCAATCAAGGAAGTTAAGGAGTGCATTGCAGTTTAGAGATTTTGATCTCCCTACTTGCTTGTGGAGGGCCGACTCAGAGCTAGAGCTCCAATGCCCAGATAACCCCTTCCTGGGCTCTAGGCGGCCATCTAGATTGCCTAATTGTGTGTTTGTGTGTGTGTGTTACTGTCGGTCCATAAAGCACACCTTTCAAATACTTTAGACCCACAGCGACCATTGCCTAAACAGGTGGCTTGGGCTGAACAAGTACAGCTGTGGTGTTATCCACCCATAATCCGGTTGCTTGTAATAATCACACAAGGGCAGAGTTATGGGTGGTGCTTTTGTTGGAAGAGTTACAGCTTATGCTGTCTGACAGCCAGACTGTCTATAGGTAAAAAGATTCCATTCCAACTTCTGTTGCATTAAAAGAATTCTAAACCACACACTCCATGCCGTGACATCAGTGTTAAATAAATGTTTCCTAAGAAACCTTGTAAAGTGTAGTAATTTCCCTTTTTTTTAAAAAAAAAATTTAACACACTTTTCAGCACACAATGTAGCCTAAAAAAAATCTAATATTGTAATAGCATTCATATAGTCTATTAAAGATTTATTTAGCTATTGGTAAAAAATAATTAACTTTTTTTTTTTTTTTTAATTCAACATTTGTTCTGAACACTTAAAGGGTGGTGGTGGTTACAGTGAGCAGCTTACTGGAGATGTATGTGTATAATACCAGGACATACTTGAAAACATGGGAAATATCAATGTATCGATCCTGGTAAAATATTTTATAAATAATACACACAGAACTGAAAACATCAGCCATTGTGGCATCAAATTTGAAAACCCTTTGCTTTCACATGTTAGAGTTTATTTCAATTCCAATAGTATTATGTAGTAATGTTTAATACACATGTGTGCTATTCTGCTGATGCAATATGTCATAAACTAAACACACAAACACTGTGATAGTAGCTCTATTCCTTCTAAGTTTATAGTCCAGTAGATTTGAATGAAAAGATGTTACTTATTGTTAAATGCCTGTTGCGTTTTTTTGTTTTTTTTGTTACATATTAGTGGGGAATGCTAAACTTGTCATTTGCATAGGAATTGTAAATGTTTGGGGGAAATGGACTACTTTTCATAATTTGGTTTTGGCTAAAAGTTTGCAATTTCCTGACCATTTATCAGTTCAGTTAATAACCACGTTTAATTAACTGATGGCCAATAGCACAGGAGCAATCAGCATCGAGCTCTGGTGGAAATATAATTCTCATGATGTTTAGCAATTTTCCTAAAAGAGCAGGGGGAGGGAGAGGGTGGTGTCTCTGAGCGTCATAGAGTTGTCGATGTCATGCTGTTGACCTACATGTTTATTATCACGGCGCTATGCAATAATTGTACTTTATACCCTTAATATAGACCTTATGTCAATATTTAGCCATCTTTCCACCAATGACAAAAAGATCTGACTATTAAACTTACATCTGTAATTTTATTCTGACTTCTGCAGGATGAGTCCAATACATGGATAGAGTCTGCTCTATAAAATACAATGTAAAGTGTCTGGATACACTTATAATTTTTATTTAATTACATTTATTTTTTTTGCTCTTGACCTTGCGTATTAAATATGAAGCAAATGCTGTGCTGGTAATTTTGGAAATATATAAAAATAAATAAAAAAATAAAAAAATAAAAAAAACACCTAACTTATACAAGTGTGCATGTTTAGTTGCTGACTGGCATTTGCGCTGACAGACAAAAATAAGTGTTGTGTAGTTTTTTTTGTTTTTTTTTTCAGCTTTTTAGCTTTTTAAATATTCCCTGGGGCAGTAGCAATACTAATCTTTATACCTAATCAGTTCTTTACTGTAACATTAATAGGGTGGCCTGTGTTAGTGTATTGACATGTCATTCAAGGCTTTTAAATGGTGATTGGATGTAGGTTTGCGTTGGCACATGGTTATCCTTTGGCATTTACATAATTGTGTGACGTTAGAGTCACCGACCTGGCCAACATCAAAGGTGGGTGGGAAAGTGTTTGAGAACATCCATTAAGTTGAAAGACGGGTGTTACCTTGGGCGTTGTCACATTGCATAATTTAAAGATTAATTATTTGATTGGCTTCAACCTTACTGACGAGTTACTTGACATATAGTTATAAAGCTGCAGATGTTTGGGGATAGCATTACAGTCTGTTCTAGATCTCAAGTGCAGTCATTTTGGCTGGTGTGATAAATGTAGGTTTTATGCCCGTCTATTTAAAATCATGTGCCAGGTTATTCTTGGGCCTCAGGTGTTGGCTGTACTAGTCGCTGCTTGTTTAATCTGGCACCAAAGACTTTAAGTTCTTTGCCATGTTTTAACTCGGGCGCTAGGTTAAGTTGTCTGCCTGGGCCAGACTTAAAGGACCACTAAAGTCACCCAGACCACTTCTTCTTAATAAAATGTCTTGGATGTAGAGGTCTTGTAGGTTTAACCTTGTGATGTAAAACATACCTCCATTGGCTGTTCCACTGACAGCCACTCGATGTGCTTTCAGCTGCAGTGACGGGGTGAGAGTATCACATGGCTGCACTTCCCATAGGAAAACATTGATTCAATGCTTTCTTATGGGGAAGCTGGATGCGTGCTCTGCTTGCTGCACATGCCCCTCAGGTCCCTTCTATGAAGAGCATTGGATTGGATGGACTCCAGAGGAGGCCATGTCTCCTCTTTGACTTTATGGGAGGTAGGTAAGTAGTGCTGAGGGGAATGTATTTGTTAAAGTAGACATACAAGATACAATGAATATAAGTAATAATGTTGGATTAGGGGTTTTATGGGCCTGGATATCATAAACATGACCTTAACTGAACACTGTAGCATTATACATTCTTGGGTTCAAAATTATACAGAGTATTCAAACCAACCAAAAAAAAAATGTGTAGGACAAGGATGGACAACAGCCCCCTCTGTTTGGGGGAGGGAGGTGGAGAAATGTGATAACATGATTCCTTTAATGCTTTAGTAGCCTTTACACTGGCAAAGCATTGTTGGAGTAGTGTTTTATTTTTTTAATTTTTTTGATAGCCCACACTGAAAAGATGTAATTCATAGAAACAAAGTTAAAAAACAAAACAGTACCAGACGGACTTCAGATTTGAGGGTGCCATCGTTTTCTAAACTAACGTGAATGCAAAATGTAAATGTCGAGAGAATGGATGCAATATGATGAAAAGACAGGAGCTGAGTAGAAAAATGGAAGATGACCATGTTTAGACATAAAGGGGAAGAAAGAGCAACACATGTCCTTTTCTCTCACCTAACATTAATTGTGTGTAATTTTAGACCATTATTTTATGTAAAGACCACATCTGGGCAGGTCCACAGAGCTACCAACCCATAGGTGCTGCTTTTTAGTTTGAGCTTCGATGTTTTTTATGATGCAAAATAAAGCAGTTGAACACTTTGCAGTGGTACTTATAATGAATGACGTTGCACACCATAACCACTTCAGTATATCTTGGTGCTTTTATTTCGTCCTTGAATAAAAACATCCGTGCTTCATTTTCTTGCATTTTTGAAATTTACCTGTGTGTGTGGTGGTTTTTTTTTTTTTTGCTTAAAGCATCTAAAGACCTATACTTGTATGTTTCACACTTGTTCCTTTTTTTGTTTCTTCTTCTTTTATCCACTATTATAGTTTAACCAATCAGTAGGAAATGAATTGAACATTGGAGTGGGTACTTCATTTTGTTTATGCACCGATGGGCAACTACACATCAGACAAGTGCTGCATCCTGAAGCCTCCAAAAAGGTAATGACTTTCATATTTATGCAGTATCCGTGTTTTGATAGTAAATTCCAAAATGTGGTGGTTCCTCCTCATCGTCTGATACGTGTGATGGGTAGAGAGGGTGCTGTGTGCCACATGCCCTGCCCACTAATTGCTTGATGTTGTGGGACTTATTTTTTTTTATTGATGCTATTATAATGTACTAGCTATGTCTTTAAACATGGATGTGACCATGTGGTGTGTAATTATGATTATTTTATTGTGAAATGAGGAATATGCTCACAAGATACTGCATTGTTTTTAGCTTTTTTATGTTTTACTGCTCTTCAGCTTTTTGAGGCTTGAGTTGCTCCGTAGCAATACAATAAGTAAATTACTTACACCAATCACCTTAACCAATCAAGCTCGCTGTAGCGGTTATGACACCAGGTGTGCCGTGGCCTAGTTTCCAATAAAAATAATGGTGCAAACAGTTTTAGCAGCGGTTTGCATCCTTACCGGGATCCTCACTGGGGTGGGCTACAATGCTTGCTGATTGTTCATCACTTTCAGCTTCAGCAGAGCCCCAGAAACTGGAAACCACAGCTTTCACCATTCATTGGCTGAGCGCATCTGTAGACCGCTCTCATACTACTTTATCTTATTTTATTTCTACATAACATGCAAATTAAAGGAAAGATAACATAGCCGAGATAAACATTAGAAAAATAACTAACTAATAGCCTGCACTGGTTACATAAGAGAACAATTGGGGTGGAACACACGCTAAATGACTATTGTGGCTTTGAGCCAAAGCGGGATATCATTAACTCTGAGGAGGCTAACTATTTAAAATACTTGGTAGGGAGTGATAAAGTACTGTTGGTTCAATTAGTTGAGGCCCTAACTATAGGGGGCCACGGTAGGGGCAGTGTACACCACTGTGCCTTTGAATAGGCTATACGTTTCCAGCAATTATCTAGGAGCATGGAATAAACCTTAAAACATAAACAAGAATAACTGCTACAAAATAAAAGTTAAAAGGAACATATAGAGAAAAATGCCAGGTGTAACTAAAGCCTGCGGTCTTCTTCCAGTACTCTGTCCCAGTCTCGGGACAAAAGATACCATATTGTGGGGGTCCCAGGAGCAGGATGGCACAGTTTGAGATCTGGAGGAGCCACTAGGTCAGTCATTGTAGCGAGAAACACTGTAACCTCTGCTACAGAGTTAAATCTATGACGTTTCCTGTGCTTTTGGATCAGACCAGTGAGCTGTATGTAGTTTTAAGGTAGCTCTGCTCGTGGAGTTCCACATAGCGTGGAGCTGGTGAGGTCAGTAAAAAAGGACAGGTGGTGAGACTCAAAGGTAAACAGAGTTCTCCCTTGAAGGGCAGACATCAGTTGACTTTTGTGCAGCACAGAGTGACCATGGGTGATGACATTCCTGGGGTCAGATGCAGGTCCTCAAATGGATCATAGTCAATTTATTCTATATGCATCATTAAAAGTGAGCAGTTTATCTTGCTGAGGTGGAAAGATGGAGGCGACCAAACATCTGGGTCTCCTCAGCCTCTACCATGTCTGAAAAACGTTGTATCTTAATATTGGGCCATTTGCCCATGTCATCCAGAGAGTCCAATCGAAGTGTCTGCTCTATTGTGGAGTTTGCAGGTGGCAATGTGATTGTTGTAGCTTTGTCACCTCATGGCATAGTACAAGTTTTTCTTCTTCATTGGCTTGCATTCTGTCTGTGACCGCTTAAACCTCTGTTTTTAGACAGACTAAAGTCTGCAGCAAATGGTGCTCAAAAAGAGCGAGCTTTGAATATCCCCCTTAGTGGCAGGTTTCTCGCTCATTAGGCAAGCCAGGGAGGTAAGTATTGGAGGTTTTGTGTCCAGGAAGGTATGATTTTCTGAGGCCAACTTTGGTCTTGAAATTAAAGCTACAGTAGCGTCATTAATTGTCTCCTGTGACTCTGATATAAGAGACTATTTTTAAACAATTTATCTCTAAAATTCACAATTTAAGTGTCTGGAAATTTTAGTTGATAAATCATTTGAAAGGTTAATTTAATCTAGGCTATCATCTGATAACTTGATGCACATGAAGCAGGCGGCAGAGGTTGGCACAATAGAATAGGGTTATTTACTAAACCGGAAAACAGGAAGATGTGGTGAATTAACAGGTTGTAAAATATAGGTTGGCTTTTTAGGTAGGGATTTAGTTTTTTTTTTTTCTACCTACCTAAAAAGTGAGCCTATATTTTACAACATGCTGCTAATTTTTGTCTCCCCAATCACCCCTACCCCACCTGCAGTTCTTCTGTTGCGTGTCGTCTCAAATTGGCTACTTTTTTGACTTCTAGTTTTTAAAAATGTATAATGCATTCCTTCAATAAGGCTCCAGGGTTATTTTCTATAATCATTAGAAAATGGTTCAGATTTATTTTAAGCAACATCAGTGAAAATAAATCTGTATACTTTACAAGTCTACGATCTCAATGCAGTGTCCATTCACTAGACTAAAACATACATGGTCTGGAGTGACCTGACACGTGGGACTATCTGTCCAACAATATCGCCCCTCCCCCCCTCTATATGGAATATTTTTATAAAAGGGGGAAAACTAAATATTGTCTGACAAACAGTCTCTTCAGAGCATGTTCATTATTTCACATCATTATGAGAAGAACTTTTGACCACCACTTATGTGCAGTAATTGGCCTAATAGTGCAAGGTTTTGCTACTCCTAGTGAATGGACACTGCATTGAGACTTGCAGACCAAATGGGGAGGATCTTCTTTCAGCCCGCTGGCCCTCCCACCTGCTTGTGAATTGAAAGTGAACCTCTGCAGAGAGTACACACAGGTCCTCTAACTTTTACAATGTTTACATTATTAAACACTGCAACCGGTCTATTGCTCATTGTTTCAAAGCACTCTTACTGCTTGTAATACACTCATTTGCAGTGTACTTAGCACTGGCAGAGGTGGGGTGGGGGGGGAGACACACACTCTAATAATATTAGCGATAATGTTCATACAATACTAAAACACAAAATAACACACAAATAATTTAGAACCCTTTTGGGGTGTGTGTGTGTGTGTGTGTGTGTGTGTGTGTGTGTGTGTAATGATTTAGGCAGTATAATAGGCAGCATACAAATAATCACAGAAAAGTGGACATAAATAACAATGTTTCAAGTTGAACGGTCAGCTGGGTAACAATGTATTTTGAGTACATTTAGATGTGTCTTGTCGAACTGTTTGTGTGTTCTTGTGTGAGTAGAGCAAACAATGTTGGGGGGCGGGAGGAAAAACATGTTTGGGTATTTGTTAATAAGAACAACAAATGCTGGACTGGAATGTGCCCTCTACTTTGAGGAAAGCTCTCCTTTTTAGCACAAGGTAGGTCACTCCCCAATGGTTTATTTTGGCACTCAGACTCCACTATCTCGGTGCTTATTCACCCATTTATCGATTGCCCTTCTGTGAGCTCTGTTTCTCGAAAACACCCAATAACAGAATGGCAATGCCAACCAATACACATACACTTCCATTTTTTTTCTTTACTAAATCACCCAATAGTGATTTTGATATTTTGGCATAAAATTCTGAAATCTAATTGGCGTTACAACACAGTAGGAACCTTTCCTCTCCCTGCCCTTCTCTCCCCCTCCACCCCCCATACTATTTAAACTAAATCTTTCATTCTGGTTCTTGTTTCATTTGCTGTTTAGTGAATAAATCCCTTGATGCTAAATGGTTAATACAGATTTGTAGCTTGCTGCATTTCTTCCTCTTGTTCTGACTGCTGAAAACAAAGGGCTATTATATAACCAACCACTTCCAACATTTAACTGCTCGCTGGAAGGTGCAATCTAGCTCCAACAGGTGTCTTGTGATATTATTTGGCTTAGTAAATATTGACTAATATATCTTTGTTACGTATTCCAATTAACCATGGCAGAATGGTCTAGGTGTTTTTTCCTTGCTTCCATGAGCTGACCAGACTCTATTTTCCATCGAATCTGGTCTATAAGAAAGTGCAATATACTGTGAGCACCTCTTACAAGCTTGACTGATTTCTGCATTTGGTATAGTGTTAGAATAAGCTCAGTGGCCCTATACGCTCAGCTAAAACAAGAAGGGATTGTTCCTTATCTGCAGCTGATATGTATTAACTTTGACAGCTGTAAGACAAGGAGAAAGCACATTTTTTTTTTTCCAGCAATCCAACATTTCAAGTTTCTCTCTTAAAGATTCAGGTGGATATTCCAAACAAAATAAACCATTTAGTCACAAGGAGTCGCAGGTGTTCACAGTACAGGAGGAATATTAATTGCTTTGACTCGATTTTAACAATTTGACAGATATTTTACTTGAAAGAAGCGGTTTTATTGACTAGAACTCCCATCCTATTTGTATGATGGGAGTTGCATTCCACAATAGATGGCAAGTGAGACAGTTTCCTCAATCCAGTTTGAATCCTGGAACATAACACATAGATCTTTGCTTCTCTTACCTTTGAAGGACTAATGGCTTGCCAGTTATTTCGTGATTAAAAGGGGGTTTGCCTTGCCTTTAGTCAATAAGTAGTTAATCCTATTGTTGACCTTGTGGAAAGCATTGACTATTTGTATCACATTATCTTCAAATATTAACTGTACAAAGATTAAAATTCATATCAAACTATAGAAGGGATCCAGCAAGAATACAAATATTTCTATGGAGCTGCTATTAAAATGATAAAATAAAATCTATAGGTTGATCCTATGCATGTTCACCATGGGATGTATTTTAAAACAATAAGTCTTCTGAGTACTAGAACTCTTGTTTCTGACTGCCTCTCTGCTATTTCCAACTGGATGGCTGCTCACTTCCTTAAACTCAACCTGTCCAAAACAGAACTTCTAGTTTTTCCTCCTTCAAGTGCTGCTACTCCTGTGTCTGTCGCCATCCAAGTCAACGGCGCTACTATCACCTCTACCTCCCAGGCTCGCTGCCTGGGGGTTCTTTTTGATTCTGATCTCTCTTTTACTCCCCATGTTCAATCGATAGCCAAATCCTGTCGCTTCCAACTCAAGAACATAGCGCGCATCCGCCCATATCTAACGCCGGACGCGGCTAAGGTACTGGTTCATGCTGTTGTTCTCTCTCGCCTTGACTATTGCAATCCCCTTCTCACCGGTCTTACATGTTCCCAGCTTGCACCGCTGCAGTCTATAATGAATACGGCTGCGAGGCTTATTTTCCTGTCCGGTCGCACCTCCCACGCCTCCACGCTCTGTCAGTCCCTGCATTGGCTTCCAGTTAGATATAGGGCCCAATTCAAAATTCTGGCGCTTGCTTACAAATCCCTACATAATGCTGCTCCAACATACCTATCCTCCCTCATACACAAGTATGTCCCGTCGAGACCCCTCCTATCCTCTGCCCGGATCCCCACCTCTGATGCTCGCCTTCAAGACTTCTCCAGGGCTGCACCTATTCTGTGGAACTTCCTTCCCTCCTCAATCAGACTTTCACCCAGCCTCCATTCCTTCAAAAAAATCTTTGAAAACTTCTTCATTAAAGCGTATCAGTTAAACTGTCAGCAGGTTTCTCATCCCCCACCCCATGACTCCGTTCCTTCACCTGTCAAAAATGACCTACCAAGCACTCAATAAACCCTTCTGTAACAAACTATTTAATTCCCCTACTTTAACCCTTTGTGTCACTATACCCCACTCCCTCTAGCATGTAAGCTCATCGAGCAGGGCCCTCAACCCCCTCTGTTCCTGTACATCAGTGGTCTGATCTCAATTATGTGTCTGTTAGTCCACCCATTGTACAGCGCTACGGAATTTGTTGGCGCTATATAAATAATAATAATAATACCTGTGAAGGAAATATTGGAACTTTTATTCTCCCTAGCCTATCTCTGAAGACATTGCTGATGCCACAGAATATATTGGAATGTTGGCAGAAAACAATTACTGACTTTACAATCCTCCCTCCACCTGTTGGTTTAGAATAGTGTTCCACATATTTTTTTTAAAAAAAATTTAAAACATTTTTAAATTATATAACGTTAGTCCTCAATGTAATTAATTATCTTTGTGCATAATTCATCGTAATAGTACACAGTGTATGCTTTATTCTTAAAGAACCAAACAATGTCAAAGTGCTTGAGAATAGTCGAGTGTAAGCAGTGTAGCTGCACTACCTCAAAGTGACACTACGTGATGCATAATAGAAATAGAGCACACGAACAACTGCAGTGAATACGGTATCTTCTATATACAATCTGAAATAGTTAAGAATAAATATATATATATATATATATATAATTTTCAGACTATCTGATAACACTAATGAGAAAATACAGGAGTGTATAGGAGAGCACTCGCATGTACCAGAGCCCTATCGCCTCTGGGTTTGAATAGCTCCACTTGAGAGGGATATGTACCACCGCTTACATCAGGACAGGTGTCTCCCTTCCATTAGATATCATTCCAGGAGCTTCTGTGCAGTATAAGCGGATAGAGCGGCAAGGACCCCAAATTGAATAATATCTTGGCACAATTTATTAATATCAAAGGTTAAAAACTCTTAAAGGACCACTATAGTGCCAGGAAAACATACTCATTTTCCGGGCACTATAGTGCCCTGAGGGTGCCCCCACCCTCAGGGTCCCCCTCCCGCCAGGCTCTGGGGAGAGGAAGGGGTTAAACACTTACCTTTCTCCAGCGCCGGGCGGGGAGCTTTCCTCCTCCTCCTCTCCTTCTTCCTAGCGATGTCATAGGCTGAATGCGCGGCAGGAGCAGTGCGCGAATTCAGCCAGTCTCATAGGAAAGCATTCATAATGCTTTCTTATGGACGCTGGCATCTTCTCACTGTGATTTTCACAGTGAGAAGGACGCAAGCGCCTCTAGCGGCTGTCAATGAGACAGCCACTTGAGGCTTTAGAGGCTGGATTAACCCTCAGTGTAAACATAGCAGTTTCTATGAAACTGCTATGTTTATAAAAGAAAAAAAAGTTAATTCTTTCTGGACCTGGCACCCAGACCACTTCATTAAGCTGAAGTGGTCTGGGTGCCTATAATGGGTCCTTTAAGTGGTGGGTTTGCCAGCAATACACCCACAACTCTGCAAGCAGAAACAAAATATACACAAACGGTAGCAGGGTTTGGTAACAGACTGGATGTAAGGAGATGAGATATCTATCTATTCTCCTTACATCCAGTCTGTTACCAAATCCTGTAAATTCCACCTTAAAAACATAGCTCGCATTCACCCCTTTCTTACGCAAGAAATAAACATCTATATCTATCCAAGAGGGCTGCATACATTATAGGGTGCTGCCGGGGCCAATATATACAAAATACACAATCCAGTGCACTCACTTATTCATGAAACAATGATTTCAAATCTTACAGATTGTAACCGTTTTTATTGTAAAACACCTAACCTTGGCAAAAAATAATGGGGCTTTAGTTACGTTATATGACCATATATTGCATAAGCCTGCCACAACGTCAATGTACCCCATTCTTGGCAGGTCCTACTCGAACAGCCAAATGTCTGCTCTTATGAGATTAATCCACTTACTTGGGAAATACTTCCTTACTGGGACTCTCTGCAAGTCAAGGCTAAATAGTGTCCTGGAATTGCAGAGTCCCAGGAGGAAGAATTTCCCAAGTAAGTGGATTAATCTCATAAGAGCAGGCACTAGGCTGTTCGAGTAGGACCTGCCAAGAATGGGGTACATTGACGTTGTGGCAGGCTTATGCAATAAATGATCATGTAACTAAACCCCCATTATTTTTGCCTAGATGAGGTGTTTTTAAATAAAACTATTACAATCTGTGAGATTTGAAATCCATTGTTTTGTGATTTAAGCGAGTGCGCAGGATTCTGTATTTTGTCTCCCCCTCTCCTCCCTTTAAGGCCAATTTAGCTGCACTGGAAAATCATTTAACGAAAAATTCCAACAAAGTCCTCCTTACTGAATGAAACAAAATAGGGGACTACTTTATCTCCATATTTTTCTCATGTCTTACACCTTTTAGACACAGGGATTTGGCTCAGTCTGTTGAAGATCCCGCTGTCTCACAGGACCTTCCATAGACCTCAATGCTGTACCATCGCGCAAGCACGAGAGTACAGCAGTGACATCGGCTCCTGGCACTAAAACCCAGAAGACAATGGCAGCACCCATGAGGGACCGGTTTAGGTAAATTAAACTCCCCTTTGCAAGCCCCAGTCGGCCACTGGACAGCCAGCGGAGATTTGATGAATAGAGGGACAGCACCGGGGAACTCTGTTACTATAATCAATTCAATGAGGCGAAAGTGTCTCTTTAACAAAATGTTTGCTGAATCCGAAACTTTTATTTGAAGTCCTTTTCATTGAGGCCTTTTGTAATGGCATTATTTCGGCAGTCTGTTGTCCCCCATTAGGTAAATTTCTGTGAAATAACTTGTTCATTTGTTACTAAACTGTACACTCAAGTTTGAATTGCCAACTTTCTTTTTTTTTTTTTTTGTGTGTGTGTGGATATTTTGCCCCTAATTTGATTCACTGGGTAACACACTTGGTTTGTGTTTGTTTTTTTTTTTTTGGTTTTTTTGTTTTTTTTTTTTTTATATGTTCAGTTTTAAGTGTGGTGTGGGCTGTTATTTTGTAAGTCAGTAATAGTGAGGGTTTAAATATATATGTATTTTAGATATTTGTGGCCAAATGAAATGGTGAAAACTGTAGTTATCGATAACTATTATGGGAATACTGTATGTGGTGTGGTTTGTTTTAGTTTTCTGTGCAAATTACAGCATTAACCCCTTAGGGACACAACTTCTGGAATAAAAGGGAATCATGACGGACTATCTCAGTCATGTGTCCTTAAGGGGTTAATGATGCCTGAAAATGTTCCCACCACTCGCATTTCTGGGGCAAGTCATGGGTAAAAAGAAAATAGTAGCTGGGAGAGTGGATGGAGTGAAATGGTAATTGATGGATACCCTGTTTTCCTGAAAATAGGACATCCCCAAAAATAAGCATTAGTTGATAGTTATCTAATCTATGGGAAGTTTCCCCGAACATAGATTCGCAAGATTCCATTCGCGCGTAAGCTCCTCTATATTTGGGAACGTTTCCCCGAACATAGATTCGCGGGATTCCATGCCCTAGTGAACTGGTCTATGATCGGTGGAGTTCCCCTGAAAGTAGACTTTCTTTCTAGCACAAAATAAGACTTCCCCTGAAAATAAGCCTTAATGGGGGGGGGGACTTAATGTAAGACCCGGTCTTATTTTCGGGGAAAGACGGTATATAATATAAGGGACAGACTGTGCTGTACTTGGCATTTATTTATAATCCATTTTTTTTTTTTTTTTTATTCTTGTGGAGTGAGGCATGTGTCCACTTCCTCATGTCTTCATAACTAGAACAATATTTACTAGAACCAATCTGGTTTTATTTAAAGTGGAAGTTCTTCTTTTGGTTGAAATTGAGATGGTTAGATTAATGTAAGTGGAAATGTTAACTTTCTTTGGTTTCGCAAATTCTCTAGCAGTGGGGTAAAGTAAACCAGAGACCAGACAGGAAAAAGCCCTTGGTAATCTCTTGGTCAAGAACGCATGGTGACTATTTCAAAGATCCACTTTTTTTCTGTTTACACTCTTCTACTGTATATCTGAAGAGTGAATAGCAATTTCTCAATATAAATTTTATTTATTTTTCAACCTGTAATCACAGTCTATGATGAAATAGGGATTTCTGGTTCCTCTTTGGTGTTTTTGAACTAGTTTTTGGTTTAATGCATTTATTTTATGAAAGGTTTATAAATGTTCCATATCTATATATCTATCACCAGCTATCAATTGAGATGTCTTTGTCATTCTCCTCCTTTACAACCATCTACCTCAGTTTGTAGGTTTAACCAGTAGCTGGTAATGCCACTCATGTCAGATTTTGGAACCTTTGCAAACGTTCATTTAATGTATGCTGTAAAAATCAATACATTCTTTGAAAATTCCAATGTAGTCACCATGAAATGAAATGAGTCACTGTGCCATGTGCAGCATGACCCAAAAACGTCACAACATTCTAGTAAAGAAAAAAAAAACAGGGTTTTTTGCTAAAGTGAGAATTCAAAGTGAGTTTCAAATTTAAGGCCAGAGTAGCTGAACTGATAGCAGAGATGACATAATTGTTTTGCAGTTTGGCTATTTTGACTCTAAAGGAACACTATAGCGTTAGGTGACTAGGGCCCCCTTCTGCGGCAAATAAGTGGTTAACCATTTATTTGCTTACCTTAATCCAGCGCCGTGCTCCCTTGGCACTGGTGACCCCTCCTCCTCCATCGACGTCCGCTTCCGAGTGGAGCCGCATGCACGGCCAGAGGCATGCGCATTCAAACCCGCCCATAAGAAAGCATTACTCAATGCTTTCCTATGAGGATCTTTATTGACACTGGACTCCGTAAGCACGTCCAGCGTCAAGTGTGACTTAGTGTAAATCGCGGAAGCGGCCTCTAGTGGCTGTCAGGGAGACAGCCACTGGAGGCTGGATTAATCCTGCAGTGTAAACATTGCAGTTTCTCTGAGACTATGTTTTCAGCTGCAGGGTTAAAACTAGGGGGACCTGGCTCTCAGACCACTTCATTGAGCTGAAGTGGTCTGGGTGCCTATAGAGGTATTTTAAATTAATTTTTGCATCCACCTTCAATTTACCCTTTAAATGGAAAATGGTGCTTTAAAAAAAAAAAGGAAAATGCTTGGATGATTTGAGAATGCCTAGTTCATTGAAGGCAAATCCGGACTAGAATTTCCCTGAAGTTCAGTCAGCCATATGTATCTGTAGTTCACAATGTCTCGCATGCCAAGAATCGACCCATTTCTATTTACTAATCACCAATGTGAGTGGCTCACGCCACCATATCAATTCTTGGGGCATTCTAAAAATGTTAGCCTCAAAAAGCCCCCCAAAATCACTACAACTACTCGCAGCAGATTCCAAACCCATTCCACATGTTTTGGAGTAAAGTTTTGTCACAATGTTAAGCGCATAAAACAGAGAAGGTTGCACCCAAGGGTGATCAAATAACCAGATGCATTTAACAGAACTTGGTCATACTGAAGTCTTGATAACATTTATTGTATACATCTGCTGGCACAATGTATAGATAGAATTATTTTCACATTAGAACATTTCTTTAGACTATATTTATTTAGCTCCTGCTTGTGGCAGTTCTAAAAAAGCTGAATTTAATATTTTTTTAGATTTCTCTGAAGAGCTAATTGCTATTATGATATCTCCGGCTGCTACAGAAGCTCTGCCACCTGAAAAAATAAAGCTGTACATTAATCAGCACCTCCCAAAAAGCAGTCTGTATTTACACTTGTTTATTTGAACCGTGCAATTAAGATTTTTAATAACTTGTTTGCCCCCTACATTTCCTGTCTATTGTACCATGGACAGATTTCCCAGCATACATTCTCATCCTCCTAATAACTGCCAAATATGTTATTTTTTGATTTTTTTTTTTTGTCTTCTTGAAAAATATGTGCTTTTATAAGACTGGCATAAATTTCACTTAACATATGTTGATTTTTTTTTTTTTTTTTTTCATTTTAAATGCACAGAGGTAGAGACTGTTCATGTTTTAAGGGATGACAAAATAGTTCTTTTTTAATAAATGCAAAAAATATCATTAACAGTTTCAATATAAAATCCAAACCTATATATCAGTATTAGATATATTTACACCTCATCACTCTCCTCCATCCACCTTCCCCCAAGCACACTCTATACAAAGAAATACACTGATACATGTACTGTAGTATGTATCAAAACCCAATTTGTTGGATAACTCGCTGATCACAAACTAAAGTGACCCTGATCCGTGAAATGGTTTTGCTTGATTTGAAGATTTCTGAATTCCAGACATTATCCCAAAGTCTGTTAGACCTTTTATCTCATTATAGACTGGGTTTATTTATTTTCTGTGGCAAGTCTAAAATTGTGAACATGAGGTTGTGTTACTTGATGTCAGAGCTTGAAAGATAGTTGGTACAAATCCTTAAGAGCTGGTTATCCTAATAAGTGATCGTTTCTTGCTCATTCACACCAGAAAATTCTATTGCACAGTTGCCCATGTACTCTCTCTACGTTGCCCTTCTGCATTGTGAGCTAATGCACCTATGAAGAAAGCAATACTGCTTTTTAAGTGGTGCAGTACGCACACATAAACTGTCTGTCACTGTAGGGATTGGCTTATATGCATGGTGTGCTTGTCAATGTATGTAACGCATCACAAATCTATAAAGTTTAAACCACATTGCCAATTAGTTGTAATTTTAAAAAAAAATTTTTTTTTTTTTTTTTAAAGGAACTGTCGCTTCCAAAACTTTAACACAACCAATCAATATCTTATTAAGATATGTATCTAAACTGTAACCCGACCACAGGAATGTAGTTTGATTCTTGTGTTTCGTTTGGTCCCTTCGCATTAATAAACTTGTATCTAATCTTTATCCCAATCGTACATAAATCCTCTATTGAGAAGGCAGATTGTGCTGCACATTGAATCTTGACAACCTCCCTGGGGTACATTCACTAAATGGTGAATAAAAACTTAATGTAAATAAATTCAGTCCATATAGAGTTTGGGAAAAATTCCTTCTAATTTTTGGCTTCTTTGTGGTCTTTCTTTTTTCAATTACCCACCTTTCAGTTCAGTAAGTAGATATTCCTGTTTAATTTTTGTTTTGCTTCCACGTTCTCCATCATTGTGAGATTTTAAGACTATACTGGATAACGCAGAAATGTACACTTCACATTGTTTACCTGGTTCAGAACTAAAATTTCTGTAAAGGACCCGCACTGCCAGTGTCACTCACCAGGATTCTTCCGGTGGAGAATAAGGGCCCAGCAAAGTTTCCCTAAAGAATTTAAAGCATTTCAGAGACCACCAAAACATTTCATCATTTTATATTCAACTTTTTGTACTGCCACACTCTCTCACTTCTGGTTTTCCCCAGACTTTAAGGAAATCACACACACTAACTCCACATTAGTCAAATTGGCCTTTATTCACGAACAGAACATAGCAATGTTTTGGTCCTCGGAGCTCTGGGAATCCCAAAAAGTTAGTCCAGGAGAGAACTAATGGTGCCAGATTGTGATGGTGAATAAAGGCTAATTTGATCCACGGTCTGGTATGCTGATTACTTTCTAAATATTTGCCTATACCTGTGAATTGCTATGTTACCTGCCGTTTTAGCTAAAAGCCAAATACAATGTTTTTCTTGGTTCATAAGGGGCCACACTATATTTGAATTAAGCGAATGCTTTCCTCTTTACTGCACGTTGTAAAACTATGATCTACACTGCAAACCACATGGTGAATTGGCTGCGGTCATCTGATGCGATCTGTTTGTAAAGCTCACAATGGGCTTAAACATTTTTGGAGCTTATCCATTAAAAACCAAATCATTGTCATTATACAGCTAATTGCTAAATTTGTGTTGGAGAATATTTCCAATGTTTACCATAGCCTAAATTTTGCAGGATGGTTTAGAACTTAGGTTTCCATTTTAATTAGCTTAGTAAATATGTGATCCCAAAATGACAAACTGCACCCTGTAAAACTACCAGCTCTTAAAGTAGTAATTCTAGCAGATTAAGTATGTGTTCAGATGAAAAGAAAAAGTGGCAGGATTGCTTTAGTTTGGGGGGTGTTTTGTGTGTGTCGTGTGCGTTTAAAAAAAAAAATATATATATATATAAAAAAAATATTTTATTTATTTTATTTTTTAGACATGCTTTTCAAAGACTTGCATGAACCAAAATCTCAACTGTGTGTGTGTGTGTGTGTGTGTGTGTGTGTGTATAATATATATTTATACATAGTTTCTGGTGGAACTAGTTGAAGAATTTGCTTTTGATGTCAGGCAGCAGAGGGGTTAATTAGTGCTTCTATCTGTCCCTAAATAGCAGGGTAGCAAGTAAATTAAAAGAACACGGATTACTGCCAAAGCAGTGTTACATATATGTTGAGCGCATAGACTGGAAGAAATTTAATCTGGATTGTAAAAGAATTTTTGCCACTGGTGTGGGAGCGATTTTGAGGTGCAAGTAATGACTAAACTCAAAAAAGCGAAGCATTAATACTCCAGGGCATTCACATGTCTCTATCAACATCCCAGAACTTCTGTTTTGAGGATATAAATTAGATTTCCTTATTGGAACAGCTGACTTTTTCTGGAAAATGCAATTTATTTATGTAATTATTTATTCTCACAATTGTTCATTAAGGGTTAATGACACTGAAGGTTGAATGTAAATTGTTGCACAACATAGCTAGACTTGTTCTGTGTTTAGTTTAAACTATACCACAGTATGTTATGAGTCTTGCAAATTCCTACGCTTATAGCCCAATGAAATATGAAATCGGCCAAAAACATTTGTCCTATTTTCACCCATGGTGTACATGCATAGTATTTACTGTGGTCTGCCAATCCATCTCCTCTCTTGAATGAGCAGCCATTGTATCAGACAGTTTGTGAACTGAGGCTGGACGTCCGATTGGTTTCAGTAATTAACAGGCTTATTCAGTAAAGTGAATTTGAATTTCAAATTTCAGGTCAAAATAGCTAAACTCGATGAATGGATAGCATAGCGGACTGATTTTTATTTTTTCAGTTTAGCTATTTTGACCTGAAATTTTAAATTCACTTTGAATTCTCTCTTTAGTACATAGCACTGTAAATCTGTTTGTGTCAAACTCTAGCCAGGAGAGTCCTGGATTTTGCAAAGGCAGCATCTATGTCCCATATTTGCTGCATTAAATTTAAATAACTTCAGTTTTAAGAGTGTACCTTTTTAATTATTGTTTTTTCAATATTTACCTACTGCTTCTTGTCACACCTTGAAATCTGTGGGGGGGGGTGTGTTTTTTTTTTTTAAATTTTTTTTTTTATTTTTTATTTTTAACGAAGATGAAGCTAGCACACTTGCAGTCTGTTAACCATACTAGAGCAGTGATTTGTGTTCAAGACCCAAACAGAGTTTCTGCCCAGTATTTAGAAAAAACCCATTGGCTGGATTAGGTATATAATGTATCACGGTCTCAGGCTTGGTTTGACTCCGAGAGGAGAGCGGTGCTTTGCAGAAGTTAATTCCGTACATATTCTGATTTAAATGAAGTGTATTGAGCTAATCTGCTGTGTGCAAGTGGGTCGTGGAACTAAGCAGATATACTATTTGGATACAGCAGAGAGAAAACTGCAAAATATGTCTTGTCTTAAAATTCTAAACTGTCATAAAGCAATGCAATTTGTTTTGAACTTTAGATTTGCAGTGTCTTTGTTCTTTGAGATACTAGGATTTCTTTAGAAATGGTTGTGAAAATTGATACAGGTATTAAAGAAAAAAAAAGAGGGCAAATGTTTGGGTTATTTTTATCTACGAACATGGTCTTGTGTGTGGTTTTTTTTTTCTCCTCCAACCAAAATATTTTGTTTTAATAAAAAGCAGGAGAATACAGCGAGACAAGAAATTGTCACATTTGGGAGAAAGACACAAAAAAGAAACAAATGTAAAAATATGAATAAAATAATCTAAACAAGAAAATGAAACTATTTAGTCAGGTTAAAGCGTGGAGGTCTCCAATGAAATGTTGCACAGTCAGTAAGCCGAAAGGTTTTGTAAAGAAGAGCCCTGTGTCTTTAAATACTTTGATTGCCTGCCTGCCATAGAAAAAGTTTTACATTCCAAATAGTTTTGTTTTTGTGTGTAACATACACAAAAATATATATCTTGTAGTCTTATGCTCATAGCCAGTTCTTCCATTATTCGCCTCTGCAGGGGGTAAATTTCTATTGTCAGGGCTACATTTTTCACTTTACATTTTTTTTGCTAGTGGCGCATGGAAATCTTAATGATTTGACATGGCAGGTTGAATTTGCAGAATATGGTTGCCAAAAATGATTTGCATTAATTACACTTAAAATTGTAACATATTTTGATTTTACTTGCCTTTGTACAGCAATACACAAGTCTACTCATGGCTGGCTTTGTCCCCTTGGCTGTGACCTTGATGATCTCAGCCAAGCCAATGCTTTCCCATGGGCTTTTGTGCATGCACATTAAAATGTACCGCAGCACCAATCGGCATCTCCTCATAGAGGATCAATCAATGCATCTCTATGGGGAACGTTCCGCGCCTCCATGCAGAGCATCCCTAGGCAGTAATGTAAACACTGCCTTTTCTTACATTTCTACATTAAATAAAGCATGCAGGGACTGAGTTTACTCACCATAACAATTGCATTAAGCTATAGTTGTTCTGATGACTAGTGCCACTTTAAAAAGAGGAAGAAAAAGACAAACACATTAGTTGGCAAAGTCCATACGATGCCTTTATTAAGGCACGTGGCATGAGATGTCTGCAGGCTGTATTCCCTGGAAATCCACTCTGAGAGTCTGTAAGACTGCTCTTTTGTCTTTCCATGTGAATTCATTGATTATGAGCTCATATTGAAGCTTTTGTCTGTTCTGTAGATGTTCACTTTATTTTATTTTTAAGTTCACAAGTGAGCTAAAATCAGAGTGGGATCCTCTTTCCAAATCTGACGGAACCCACTGATGAGATGAGTCCAGACAGATCTGCAGAACAGATTCAATTTAGCCACGCAAGATCATTTTATTTTGGCCTCTTACAGGCCAATACCTCTCTATAAACGCAGCCCGCGAAGAATCCACATATTTATCCTTTACATTAGTCTTCTATCGATTCCTTTGGTTTCCCCAAAAACTTAGAACTCTAATAATGGGTGAAAAGATTTGTCCTGTGATTTTAGTCCACACTTCAGTAGTCAACATACATGTTTATTGTCTACTGTTTTGTGTATTTCAGGGTAGACCTATAATGCCTTTGATCTGCATGGCGTAATGTAATCTCCCAAAATGATCCCATGTCAACTAAATTTTTCTGAACCAACAGAAAAGTCTCCACTTCATAATCTTAAAACTCTTAGAATGTGTCTGCATGTGTTTTATGGTGTAAATGTGTTTGTTTCACATGTGAGACTTGTGTTCTAAAACACTACATTTGTTTCTATGGCGCTCTGATCCATGTTTTATTATACTTTTTTGTGTTCCACAATGTCTGTTACTGGCAAACTGATTTTACGCTCTGGGTGGTTTAACTGGTTCTTTTGTTTTCCACAGAACATCATGCTTCCCGAATGCTTCTACTCCTTCTTTGACCTAAGAAAAGAATTCAAGAAGTGCCTACCAGGATCGGGTGACACAAGTGAACTGGACGTGGCATCAATGATGAGCTGTATCCTTTTGAAGGATGTTGTAAATAACACTGTATTGGGATGTGCAAGTACAAGAGAAAAAGTGATCTTGTTTATCTTGAGTATTTCCTTTTGGTATATTTTTATAGTGTGTTTTTTAGGAAGGGTATAAATATTACAAACCTTGTTTCATGAATAGCAGGGTTATTTACAAAAAAGTGAATTTCAAATTTAACTCCAGGGTAGCTGAACTAAATGCCAAGCTGCCTTTTTTTTTTTTTCTGTTTAGAATTTCCACCTTAAATTTGAAATGCACTTTGAAATCACCTTGATTTCTCACTTTACTGAATAACCCTTATAGTGTGAATGTTGTTCTATCAGCAACAATAACCATTTGCAGGCTCTGTTGCTAGAGAATAAAATATCTGAATACTAGACAGAGATCATAAAGGCAAAGTGATATGTAATGATATTACTTCTTGCTGGGGTGGAATCTTCATGTATCGTACAGGAGTGTCATTGGCAAACTGATAGGTGAAGCTGTAATGAGAGTAAATATCTTCTTTGCTATATGTACTCTATGGTAGATAGACCACAACCCTCCCCAACCTATCACCCCCGTCCACTTTTGATTCCCTTAAGTTTGTAGTATGTTTTTAGTTTTGATAATATACTTGTTTATCATTCCATTTTAAAGTTTAGTATTAGTTTAAATCCTGATTTAGTGGTGTACCAAAGTGTGTTTGATTCCATATTCAGACAGCAAGGCCACCGTTTGCCTATTGGCTTTTAATTTACGGTTTCTGGTTCACTGCCTGCTTACTTAGTTGTGTGTCCTGGAGAAATGGCTGATAACTAAAGTCTAAATTGTTTTTATATTTTGGCCTCAAATTAAAAAATTGCTGTAAATACCCAACTTAATAATTACCAAGGGAATTTTGGCAGTGTTGGCCTCATTTTCTTTCTGGCCATTCACACTTTAATGAATAGTCTTGTAAGGCCTTAAACGGGGGGAAATGCCCCATGAGTGGAGTTTCATTACATGCAGAAGTTGTATAGGTGAGATATTATGTGGTTTATTTTTTATTTTTATGGGACTCAATAGTCACACCAAAACCACTCCAGCTCAATGTCCTAGCAGTCTGAACACTGTGTATACAGAGAAAATGCAGTGTTCAGACTGCTGCCTAGTAATACTTATAGTAGCAGTCAATCAGATGGCCACTGTAGGTGCTTTCTAGTCCAGTACTGATTTAATGCATCTCTGAGGAGATGCTGATTGGTGCAGCATGGCGTTTTGTCGTGCATGCGCTGCAGTCTCTTAATGCTTTTCTATTGGCTGACATAATCCGCATTGAAGTAAGCCATGAAAGCTGGGCCAGCTGTGGCGAGACCAGTGCACTGAGGGACAAGAAGTAATCTCCCCTTTCTCATTAATGGGAAGGGGGGTGTAGGTCACCTAAATAATTAAATATAGTGTTCCTTTAACGTTTGACAGAACAACCACTTTTGCAAGAATATATTTTGAGAAAAAGCAGCTCCGTCTCTTTCCCCAGGACACCGTGTTGATTTTATCAGCTTGTAACAGGAGTCCGATCTTGCCACTCCTCTGTTGATTCTTGATATATATTGACCTATCCTGGCTCTAACATCCTTGTCTATTAACTTGCTTTGCAGGGTGTATTTGTTTCTTAGACACACATTACATAGAAAGCTAGGGATATTTTTTTTTTTTTTTTTTACTCGTTACAATATTTATTTCATAACCTTTAAAACTATTCTTTGCCATCACAAAGGTGCAATCTTTTACAGCACACCTTACGGTGAACCAGGTCTGGGAATTACTAAAAAATGACATAGCTGCAGCAGGACCTTTCCTTTTTCTTTTTAACATGCCTGTAGCTGTAGCATTTGGGTAGTTTGGTTGTCCAGGACTATCCTGGCAATTTCCTTCATTAATCTGTATGAGTAGATTTTAACTGGCTAATATTGTGAATGGCGTCTGATGCAGCATGAATAGGCATCTAAGTATGAATATTGGGTACTAATGGCAAGTAATACGTCTTTTTTTGGTTTTTTTTCTGAATAAACAGCCACTCTCCTTCCTTTGACGTCTGCATTGATGATACTTGATTGTAATAAACATTGCGTTGAACTCTACTCTGACACTCATAAACTGGTTTTACAGCGAGATTGTTTTGAGATCACATAAAGCTTAGGATTCATTTAGTTTTGCATGTAGGTTGTTTTGTTTTATTTATTATTTATAGATTTTCCTTTTCATTCTTTCAGCATATTTTGTTATATGATGTTAAGGGTCAGGTTGGTTAATTTTTGTATATTGGTTATAATTGGGTGAAGGATTGTACAGTCTCTACAACTCCCATTGCCCTCAGGTAGTTGTAAAGCTGATTGAAAGGACTTGAAGTAACCAATAACAAGTCTCACAAAGCAGGAGTTTGCTGAGCTGAAATGGAGATATTTTCACCAGAACAAAATCTTCTGCTCTCACAAACTATCTTTGTGAGTTTGTCTGACTTGTGTGGCCACTCCTGCATTCTTACCTCTGGCATTGTCCTGGAGCAAACTAACATATACATCAATACAGGTACTTGGAAGATCTGTGTTCTGTGAGTTGCCAGTAAAAGCCGTGTGACAGAGTACTGTTGGTTTTGCTATACTGCGCATGGTTCCAAGCATCCAGGAAATTCTTTGTTCCTAGAACAGACAATAGACATCCTGGAAGTGCTGCAGTTTAATTGAATAGCCACGTGCCCTCCATTCCAACAGTGCAAACCATACTACAGCAAACTCAAACTAGCAACAACAAAAAAAGAGAATCACAAACGCTGCTTACAGAGGCAGAGTTGATGGTGGTTCTGCCGTTGTGTGTATGTGGGTGGGCGTGCAAAATGCTTAATTTAATTAATCCTTCCTGGTTATTTGCTCCTGTTACTTTTATTAACTTTCAAAAGTTTGCTTTTGTTTTTTTGTATTTGTTACATTTTGAAAGTCCACTTGCTTTTGTGCCCCCATAATATTTGGTTCTCCCTGAAATGGTAATCATTTGTATCTTAAGGAAGTAGATGTGAAATATTATAGTAAAATGTGTTCATGTACAGAGAACCCTCCTTAGATCACAAGGTATGTTTATTTAAAAAAAAAAAAAAATTGGTATTTTCCCCTTTTTTCATTTCAAGACACGTAACCCTCCAAATATCTTGACAGATACCTTTTTGGATTGCCAATAGATAACTCGGGTAGTTGTTCCATATAGAGTTAAACTATTAATTCAGAACACTCTGTATTTGACGGTTTGTTATTCTCGATTCCTGACTTTGGCTTGTCTGGATTCCTCTTTGTCAGCTGTCTGTACTGACCTATTGACTTGTTTTACAGACTTCTCTGATTTCTGGATCCCCTGTCCCGATTTATGTTGTGCTCAGCCATTATAAAGTGTCTAGATCAAACAACTCAAAATTCCCCATTTGAAATGCCCTGGGTTGCCTACTTTTTAAAATGATTTGCCATCATGGAGGTAACTTTCTTTTCTGTGCTGCCATACTGTCTCAAAGGTGACACAGATGCCCTTTAAAATTGTAAAAAGTTATTTTCTAGGCCCATTATATTTGGCCATGTGACTTCCCCCAAAAAACTGGAAAACACGTATATGAGGGGGAGGGGGGGCTTTTGGGAGACACTTATAAGTAAAAATTTTGAGGCTTTATTATACAAACACACATCAGGATTGTGATACGTCTTGTGAATGTGGAATGTTTGTGTGTGGAAAAAAAACACAAAGTACAACCACTAAATAGGGCCAGCATTTGTGATAAAGTGGTCTCTCAAAATACACCATTTGGAATACTCTGCGTTGCCTACTTCTTTAAAAATGGTATGCTCTAATGGTGGAAATGTAATTACGTAGGCTACCATACACTCTCTCCAAAGCGACATAGGCTCAGAAAATCAAAAATCAAATTTCCATGTGTTAAGACTGAAATGGGCAAGCCCTATATCTTACCCTGTAACTTTACAAAACCTCATAAAACCTGTACATAGATGGTACTGTTGTACTTGTAAGACATCACTGAAAACAAAATTAGTGTTTTAGAGCAGTAAAACCTAAAATGCTGATGATCTAATCAATTAAAGTGCAGTTTTGTTTTGTACACCAACTTTGGCCTTGGTTTCTGACTAAGAATTTGGACAATTGCCTCCGTCCTTAACGGGTTAAATAAGCTATAATAGGAAAGCTTTCTCCTATTCTGTTCCTTATAGCAAAGTTACACAGCGTTCAGGGTGGTTCAGGGTGACCTGTTGTGTAACGTAGATACACACAAGTAACTTTCTGCTGTCTGAAATCCACGATCCGGACATGTGTTTGGGAATGTTTTTTGGCTCCACTGCAGGTTTGCAGATCACATGATACTCCTTTCTGTATCCTATTTTTCTACAGTTCATACATCCTGGATGTATTCCTTGTTTGTTTAGTGTGTTTCAGTTGCAAATATTCAGTGTGAGTTCCTCATAGAACTGCTGATAGAAATGTCTGATTAATTTCTCCTTTAATTCACAGTGTTGGCGTCTTTAAACAATTAAAGATTTTTTAGCACTGGACTTTAGCAAGTTGTTATATACTATTCTGTCTGCAGGGTAACGTTTATAGTATGAGCTGGCACAGGACTGGTTTTCCATTTATCTTAAACTCACACTTTTATTTGTCTTTCTTAAGGAAAAAACAGATCTGAGCGTATTCATAAATGCAAATAGACAATTTGTCAGGATCTACATATTTAGAATTTTCTGGGTAAGATGGACTATAATGCAGTACATTGGGATTATAGAAGGTCTTTGAGGAAGTCTGGTGTCGAAATCTAATGTTGACAATATACCTTCTGCAAATCTGTAGATTTTGTTTACAGTTTAGCTTGCATTGTGTAAATATGAAATGCTATTCAGACTTACAGTATATAATGTTGGATTATACTGTGGGTTTGTGTGTGTGTCTGTCTCTCAAAGTGAGTTTTTCATTTGTCTTTCACAATTCTAAGAGAATTGTAATCCTACAGTACTTGGTAAAAACAAATTCTCGTTTTGAGATTGGATGCACAAAACCAAATAGCCTTGTAATCTTACACCACATACACCTATGTGTATTTACAGCTTCAAGGTCGCTCAGACTTCAGCAATGCTAATGAGAGCAAGGTAATATTTGGCGAGCACAGTTTCCTACCCACATTTCATCTGGGAGTTCGGACATTAAAAAAACAATTTCATGAGCGAGCACAAATATGTAGCAGCAAAGTACATACTAACCACACATGACAAATCCGTGTAATTCCTGCTTAATAACAGACTTAAAGGACCACTATAGTGCCAGGAAAACAAACTTTTTTTCCTGGCACTATAGTGCCCTGAGGGTGCTCCCACTGGGAGGAAGGGGGTTAATCCCTTACCTTTTTTTCCAGCGCCGGGCTCCCTCAGCGCTGGGGACTCTCCTCCTCCTTCTGACGTCATCGGCTGAATGCGCATGTGCGGCAAGAGCCTTGCGCGCATTCAGCCAGTACATAGGAAAGCATTTCTCAATGCTTTCTTATGGACGCTGGCGTCTTCTCACTGTGAAAATCACAGTGAGAATTGCGGAAGCGCCTCTAGCGGCTGTCAATGAGACAGCCACTAGAGGCTGGATTAACCCTAAAGTAAACATAGCAGTTTCTCTGAAACTGCTATATTTACAGTAGAAAGGGTTAAACCTAGATGGAACTGGCACCCAGAGCACTTCATTAAGCTGAAGTGGTCTGGGTGCCTATAGTGGTCCTTTTAACAGAAAATGATCCAGGTTAAAAAGTGAGGAGTTTGTTTACCTTTTACCTAAAAGAATGGTTTCCTGTGATCATTTCTAAAGATTTTTGTTTTTTTTGTTAGGGAACTGTTATTACTTTTTTGCTTGTGTAGATGTTGATACTGCTGAGTGTGTTTGCGTTTAACATAGGAAATGGATTTGAAGTGTAAAGGTATTGAAATAGTTATCTCTATTACGTACCTCCCAAGTGTCCCTGTTTAGGAGAGGCCGTTCCTATTTTGGAACATTTTTGTGAAATCAGTCTGTGTAAATAAAGATACATTGTTCTTGTTCTAAATGACATTTTAGTTGCATAAACTATAAATTATTAGCAAGTCAACTAACATTTCTGAGATTAGCCTCCCATCTGTTTTCCCCCCACACTCACATCCCTTAAATGAAATGTTTGGAGGTGTGCTATAATTTTTGGTTTTGCCCTTCTGTGCATATTGTTACGATTTCCCCAAAATACGCTTAAACCTACTTGAGGGAGGGGGGGGGTTAAAAACCGCTTTATGTACAAAAGTAAACGGCTACGGAAAGGGTTAATTGCATGATTAGGATGGGAGGAACCGGGCACCTGTCAACATGACCATTCCTATCTCTGTGCCAAGCCTGCTTAACTAGTTTAGTGTGTTTTACCCCTTGGGGCGAGGTGAATGCGGTTTTGTGAGTTGCTCTGAGTGATTCATGCAGACGTAGTCCAGAAAACGCCTCTCCCTGAAGAGAGCTTTTTGAAATGAGATGTCTATTAGTGTTTTTTCATTTTTTTTTTTTTTTCTGCTTTTCTAAATGGTGCGGAAACGGTTGTCCTGTGTTTTTATTTTAACTACATAAATGAAACCCTAAATTGTATTTACCTGTAATCACATTCTTTAACTGCATTGTGTTGCAGAATAATGCTGAACATGCACATTTAGCGTTTCCTTTAAATTTCTTAAAAAGCACATGTGCAGAGCTGTATGTACATTTCCCTTCGCTTTGTGTTTGTATGGTACATTTTAGAGTTGTGAGGGGTTCATCTTGTTGTCTCCCTTTTGTGCTGATAAGAATATACACTACAATATTCTCATTTTAAGAGAAATGTATCTCACTGGAGAGAAGGGAAATTTCTAAATCTGGGTAACTTAATGTGCATGCCAAGAGAGCACCGCGCATGCATTAGGATTTCCCCTAGCAAAGCATCGACTCAATGCTTTCCTACAGGAATTTTTAAATCTCAGTGAAACAGGAAGCTCATCTAGTGGCTGTCTAGTAGACCGCCACTAGAAGCAGTCTTAACATTCCAATGTAAACATTGCACTTTCTCCAAAACTGCATTGTTTTACATTGAGGGGCTAAGGGAACAGGGAATCTTCACCCAGATTAATTCAATAAGATGAAGTGGTCTGGGTGCCTATAGTGTCCCCTTGATTGCACTTTTGCCACCTGCTAGTCATGCAGATCTTTCTTCACCCAGTTCAGATTTAATATGATTGCAAAAAGAGCTGGTTTTGTAAAATCCTAAAATAATCTATTTGTCTGCATCATTGCACAACTGATATATTATGAATAGCAATTAATTATGTGTTCAAGATTTGCACGTAGTAACAAGTCACACCACATACAGGAAATAAATGGTTGCATTTCAAATGAGGCACTGATCAAAAGAGAGTAGGGGGGAAAAAAAAGTATTAACTACTTGATGACATAACATGCCAGGACTGTTATGATAAAAAGGTTAATAGAAATGGTTTAAAATTAATGCCACACGTGATCAATGGAGCTAACAGGGGAATTTTGACTTGTCAATATATGATACGTCTGAAACATTTACATTTTAGAAATTTTAAATAAATGTGGATTATAGAAGTAACAGCAATTCTTGTGGCTCTACTTTTATAATTGACCATAATATTTCATTTGCACTTTATATCATAACTCCGTTAATTTCCCTGTTCTTGTTGACCACTTTTCCTACCAACTGGTCTTCTCATGTCTAATGCTTTGGGTGATTGGTGCTAAAAGCTTCTAGTTTAAACTTCATTCTATTGTCTATAGTTTACCTTTGCCAGAGTTAGAACATTTTATTTTCCCTAACAAATGTTTCCAGACTTGGGTTTTGAAAAGCAAGATTCACAGCAAGCATATGGTATTTCAGAGGTGGAAGCTATGGGAGATATCATTGTAACACTAATTTCAGAACCGTACAGTAAGTGCTTACTTTCATATTTAATATTTTCTGGAGTTATAGGGAGGGTTGTGGCTGTTTTTTGTATAATTTTATTCATGACTTGTATAACATGCAAAAATGTTTAGCGCACTCCTGGTATGTGTCTTGGAGCGAGTTTGAATAATAATTTAAATTGCTGGCAATTGTTCAGCTCATCACTTTAGTATATTCATTAATTTTAAGACTAATTCTGCTTTTAAGGGTCTGAAATTCATTTATAGATTAACTTGTTTATTAATGAATTTCGGGTACTTCTAAACAACTTTCGGTCATGAAATGATGGTGATGGAATTCGATTAACTCAAGTCCCAAGAAGGTAATTGTACTCCAAAAATTAACGAATAACAACTAGTTTTTTTCTCAAATCTAATGGTAAACCTCTTGGATGAGTCCTGCACCTTACCTCCCCAAAACTCTTGGGTATGAGATCAGGACAAAGGGTGGGCATTCCTCTAGGGTGTGTCAGTGACACCAGTTGTACCCATGGAAAGGGTATGCCAGGCAGCCATGAATGAAGTCTGGTCTCACTGAGTGCAGCGCATGCTCATGCGGTCGAAGCACTCTATACAATGGCTTACTGCATAGTGTGAGTGCATCACATGAGGTGCTCGTGTTATGCTGATTGTGGACCTTTCTCTCTGTTTTGAAACACCAGGGAACCAAGCCATTATGGCGGAACCGGAGTTCAAATATGGGACAGTTTCGCTGGATCTAGGAAAGTTGGTATCTCTTATGTACGGTCACTACCCCACTGAACAATGAGTATTTCATAAAGAAACGATTATGGTTTACTCATTATAACTGTGTTGGAATTTCTCTGAAGTTCCAGTCCGGTCAAGTGATTGGGACTACTTTTTGTCTCAGTATTTCTCCTACACCTGACACTTCTAGACTCTGGGGACAGCTACTGCTGTCTAGAAGTGTTATTTCCCCCGGCTGCAGGGAACTGGCTTTATCTATGGAGGATTCCGTGGTCTTGCAGGATCCTCCAGAGACCTTAATGCTGTACTCTTGCCCATGCTCCTGGTGCTTCAATGAATAGGACACGCTGGAAGAAGATGGCTGCACCTGCGAGGGACAGGTTCAGGCAAGTAGAACTTGCCTTTGCAAATTCCAAATTCTGTAAAGTCCCCAGATGGTGACAGTGCCACATTAACAATATATCTTGCCACTTTTTTGCTAAAATACGTAATAAACACACTTCTGAATCCCTTCAAACTAACACTTAATGTGACACACATGGGGTGGGTAGCAGCACTGTGTAACATGGCTGCATGATACAAAAGATAATTAACCTCACAGAGCATGGCTGCCATCCAGTAGCATTTTAAGTATATGTTCACAGCTATGGCTATAGTACTAATTTACCAAATCTATGAATATAATAACCCCAAAATGTTACCGGCATGCTGTTCCAAATCCTTATGCTGCTTTAAAAAGCAGGTTTATGGTACAGTTTAAATAGCCTTTTTATTTTATTATTTAGACAGACATAGGGCATTGAGAGTGTGAAGATGACTTTTTGGTTTTAGGCATCATGCATTAACATTTGAAGCTCCTAGTTTCCTATATATGAAAAAAAAATTTTTTTTTTTTTTTTTTAATACAAACTTTAGCTTGATGAAGTGGTTTTTGCGAAGAGTTTTTTTTACAAAATGGAAAAAAAACAGATTTTAATAGAAATTGGCACTTTTAAAAATTTGTTGTACCCCCCACCCCCCCTGGCTGTCAGTCAGACAACTGGTCCTGTTACTTCCTGGTTGTTCAGCTCAGAGGAGACAAACTCAGTAGCAATTGCACTATTAAATAGTGAATCTGTTTGACAAAATATTAGCACAATCCCGAACATTTGGTTGATTTACATTTTTTTTTTAAATTTTAAATGTATTTATGTATTTTTATTTTAGATCATAGATTTTCTGATTCTGAACGCGTAAACTACAAATTTGAATCTGGCACCTGGTGAGTAATGTATCCAAACCTGTATCTGTGATGTTACTGCTGAGCTCAGTGCTGGATTAGGGTACACATTAAGAGGAGAAAGTGTTTAGTAATTAAGATCTGTTTATTACATATTGTTCTAAAAGAAAATAGTAGACACTCCCATGTTCGTGATTAGATGGATCCCTGCTATTATGGTATATCCTTGGCACCTGTTTATTGTATTGAAATATACTTATGGTACAAACACATTTGATAAAGTTTTAAGTCTGTTAAGTTCTTTCTATACATTGTTAGCAGAATTCCTAACAAATGTTAGATTGGAAGGGAAAATAAGCACCTCATTGGATCACTTGACAGGCCATTTAACACAAATGACTTATAGGGGAGTGTATGACAACCCTCCTTGATTTGGCTGGTGTCAGGATATGTTACATAGGTCCCAGGCTCGATGACCTCTATCAACAGTAAGGATGGAGATATGCTATGACCTATCTCTGCCTTTCCATGTTATGTCCCTTCCTATCTACCCATAGCATGCTGCTCCCGAATCTCAATGAAAGCAGTGCTTTTTCAATTGTCTAACAAGGTCTTCAATGTGGTTCTGCCATGATACCCAACTAGTAGCAACCCCTATTGGTACCACCACCTTTCAATTTTTTAGGGTTACAGAGCCCTATACAAATATTTTTTCTTTTCATATCAGGCTTTGAAAAGTAGATGCCTGATGTAAAATTTAAAAATAATCTTCCTAACCCCTCCACTATTTGTAAAATTCCCACATCTGGGGCTTTGGACTCAAAAGCCCCTCTTCCAGCAACGCCTTTGGCTAGAGAAGTTTGACTCGTATCACTCTGTTAGAATGCTAATACGTTGGCTGTGAGGTCAGCAAGTCTGCACCGTGGGGGGGCATTGCCATGCATTGGGAATTTTCCCCAAGCAGGGTCAGTGAAGAATTTGGACAAAATGCAGATATGTCTGGAGGTGGGTGTTTGTTATACCATTACAAACACTAACAGAGCTGCAGCTAAGGTGTACTCACCATGACCGGTTTTATTTAAAATGGCTACAATCTCTATTTTTTTTTTCTTGCCAACTGAAAGGAAAGTGGTATTTTTCTCTCACTTTGCCAGAATAATTTGGGGGTAAATAATATATATTTCTAAAATGTTCACTTGTCGGCATTCTACCAATTAGGCTACCTTAGTTTAAGTAAGACTCACAGAAATCCTTTTTCCCCTTAAATGCTTCATATTGGATGAGTTCTATAGAACGCCAAGTGAATAAACACGTTTGGCTGAAAATTTGCAGAAAATGCATAAACTTTTCTATTTCTGTTTTTGCTTATATTTATTATCTGTGTAAGATGTCACAAAATTGTCCCTGTTATCCACTAGCTACCACAGGAGTTGGTTTTTCAGCGACACCACTGATCTTAGTCTTACAAATGACCGTTGTAAGCGATCAGATGTCCTGTATGTGACAACCATATAGTAATGGAAAACGTTCATGCTAACTAAAGTTTAATTCTGGGTTATATTTTCGTCTGGCCTTTTATTCAACGGATAGCACAGTAATACCAAAAAGGACATTTCAGCGCTGCTGAAATCTTTTCTAAACTTTTGTCAACATTCTGGACAATGTGTTAATTTGTTTCTGTAAAGAACTCTAATTTTCTTCCGTAACCTATAACTTTAACTTTAGCATGGCTGTAATTAAATCTAGGCTACGTTGTACTGTTTACACAACCCATTACTTTCCTTAAGACCTGTAAACGCATTTCCCCATTGTCCCTGACCTATCAACCATGCAACGGGAATGCTTGTATGTTGTTAAGCAAGATAACACTTAGCTCTCACAGATGACAATGCTATGAGATCCCAGGGGGGGCAGCATTGGCAATCTCATTCCACTATTTATATACTTATCTGGGTGGAGTGATCTTTATTTTTATTTATTTTTTAAACCGCTTCATGAAAAGACCTATTTTAATCATCACCTTTTATGAATTTTTATCCCACAGCAGCAAACTGGAGATAATTGATGATAACACAATCATCCGTGCTAGAGGCTTGCCATGGCAGTCTTCTGACCAGGACATAGCTCGGTTCTTCAAAGGCCTTAACATTGCAAAGTGAGTATCTCTTTGATTATGGACTGGTTTTCCCTCTTGAAAACCTTTTCAGTGTTTTTTGTTTTTTTTGTAATTTATTGTGTGTGTGTTTGGTTTTTTTTGTTTTTGTTTTTTTCAATTGAACAACCCTGGAAAATCGGGCTTGTGTCTGGGGCACTATGTGGAAGATAAAAAAATACACTGAGCAGACTTTTATGTTTTTACTTTTACATCTTCGTCTCAAGGTGCTGCCACATTAGCTATTTTGATTTTTCATGTAATTGTATAATTAAAGATTTTTGACAATCTCACTCTCGTTGCCGAATTTACACACAAATTCAGTATCAGTCAATCTGTCCGTGGTTTGTTTTTTTTTTTTTTGCTTTTTTTGTGTACATGTTCAATTTCTCTGGTGGCAATTGTGTAAAGGTAATGTGGGTATTAAAATGAAATCGGTGTGGCTTTGCCAATTCATCATTAAGCTCTGTTGATTCCCATCACTGTATATAAGCATCTTTTTCTTGGAATTCTAAGTTCTCTAGTCTAGGCCATAAGCATCATATCTTTCTATTTTCTTGAAACCTAGACCATGATTTTTCTAGGGCAGCGATGGCTATAGAGTAGATCCACCCACCTCTCCCCCAAATGTTGAAGGACTACAACTCCCATTATGCTTTGGCAGCTAACCATTCTACCAGGAGTCTACCTTATCGCAACACCTCTGGGGGAAAAAAAAACAATGACCCAAAAACAGAATTTGTGATATCAATGTAGTATCTTCACTTGCTTTCCTCATTTTACATGCTTGTTTTCAGTTGTGTCGGGAAACTATATCTGTCTGCCTTGTCTCTTCTGCTTTTCACGTTCTGCTGACAATCTGGTGGAAGTATAAATATACACTAACTGGTCTTGGTGCTATGTGTACAGGGGTGGAGCGGCTCTTTGTCTCAATGCTCAGGGTCGTAGGAATGGAGAGGCACTTGTGAGGTTTGTAAGTGAAGAGCACAGAGATCTGGCTTTGCAGCGACACAAGCATCATATGGGGAACAGATACATAGAGGTATATATATATTTTTGGAGTGTTTTGGGTTAACTAATGAATGGTTGTGCCATACAGTTATCAGAATATTGAAATAAAACTTTGGTTTTTCTTTTTTGTTCCCCCCCTCCACCCTTCCTCAATTCCCCAAACAAATTTTAGGTGTATAAAGCAACTGGAGAAGACTTTCTAAAAATCGCTGGAGGTAATGATTTCATTATTCTCAAGACATTGAGTTATGACTACTTGAAAACACAGTTTAAATGACACTTTAAAAAAAAAAAAAAAAAAAGTTACATTTTTTTCCCTTAAAACCTCTATTTTGGCCTATTTTGTACCTCTGATCCACTGTTAAAATATGACATCTGGTACTATGACTTGTGCTCAAATTTTCACTAAACTCTTCATCTGTAGAATGAAATGAATGTGGGACATGATGGGTCCACTATAAACAAAAATATTTTTAATTTCTGTTAGAGCTTTTATTGTTTGTAGTGTGTGATTTTTTGCAATTGACATTTTCCAGTCCGAAATCATGCATTTATGTAATATCTGTGATGCGGAAGGTCAGTCGATAATTACATTTAAGTGTCAGTGTGTTTTTCTTAGGAATGCCTAAAGGGCAAAATTTAAGAAAAAATTGCTGTGTGCATGATCATGGTATTTGCAGACACCGGGGGGGGAAAAAAAACTTGTCAAAGTTCTACATTTCTCAGATCCACTTAACAATGACATTGAAATCAGACAACCTTTGAAAAATACTTTCCAAATCAATAAATGCTTCTCTACCTAGGCCCCATTCAACTAGCTTCGATGTAGATCACCAAATACAATCCAATTTAACATTGTATTTGCATTGTGTCCTACTGGTCATAGTTGAGCCTTTTGGGATTTTTTATTTATTAAATTGTAAAAAAAAAAATTTGTAAAACCTTTTTTATTTTATTTATATCTAATTCCTCTTTCAGGTACATCCAATGAGGTAGCTCTGTTTCTGTCAAAGGAGAATCAGGTGATCGTGCGTATGCGTGGACTGCCATTCACAGCAACTGCTGAAGAAGTGTTGACATTTTTTGGGCAGCATTGTCCTGTTACTGGAGGAAAGGAAGGGATACTGTTTGTTACGTACCCTGATGGCAGACCAACGGGAGATGCTTTTGTGCTATTTTCCTGTGAGGAATATGCTCAGAATGCACTGAAAAAACATAAGGACTTGCTGGGCAAAAGATATATTGAACTTTTCAGAAGCACAGCAGCAGAGGTGCAACAGGTCAGTGAATAGTCTGCTGTGTTCTAAAGCCACAACTGAGTCCTCAATTGTAATACTTTTGGATACATTTTGAATGATTGAAAATAGATGTAATAGTTAATGTTTTAATGTATAAAATCAAATGTATCATAAAATAAAAATATTTTTCTTTTTTTTCTTTGATATATTGTTGAAAAAAAAATATATTCAAGTCAGAAATGCAATAATATTTTATTCCTTAGTAATTTGTATTGGATATAGGAAAATTATTCTCTTGTGAGTTGTTTCTTTGGTCTTCCATACGAATTGTAGATTTATTTAACGAATACTTTTATAGTATTATCTTGTGGACCAGTGATGGCAGATTCTTGTTTAATTACCAATATCTAGGTATTTTATTTTTGTAAAGTTTTTTTTTTTTTTTTATTAAATACAAGTGTATGCTTCCATAAGACTAGGTATACATAAATCTTTATTAATTTTCTTACCTTCAGCCACGTTCTAGTTCACCCTTTTATGGAAGCTGACAAATGCTTCCTTCCTATTCTAAAAACACTGTTTTAATCTCACTTGACTTTATTTGTAAAATGAGGTAGCATATTTGCAAGTGCGTGTTTGTATTGTATTACAGATGCATCTTTCTCCAAATATGTAGGGGAGAGAAGTATTTTGCCCAGTACATCCTGTGTTGATGCAATTTATCATGTTCTTATTCACAGGTACTGAACAGATACTCCTCAGCACCACTCATCCCACTCCAGACACCTCCTATAATCCCTGTACTACCTCAGCCCTTCATTCCTCCAGTAAATATTAGGGACTGTATCCGTCTACGAGGCCTTCCTTATGCTGCTACCATTGAAGATATTTTGGAGTTCCTGGGTGAATTCTCTGCTGACATACGAACACATGGCGTGCACATGGTGCTGAATCATCAAGTAAGTACCGAGTCCGCAGGACAGTTAAATTATTATTTAAATCAAACAGGATTTTCATGTTGAAACATGACTTCTGAGTGCTGCTAATTTGTCATCAGCTAAAACATTGAGCTTTCTAAATACCCATCTCCAAGTAGCAGCTGTTCTGATTCCAGGAGCCCAATTGCCAGTCCTGTGTGAAATAATTTTGGCCTACAGCAAACTGTTTCTTGATTCCACACACCTAACTGTATGCCTGGCTGACGAATCTTACAGATATTTAAGGATTCCATTTTTGGAATCTTCTCATTGGAAAATGCAGAACACGGCTTGGTATATTATCTTTATCGGGTTAGAATTGTAATAATGTAATTGTCGAAAATAGGAAATTTTTTATTTTATAAAATGGTTTATTGCTGCTGGACTGTTATAAACTTGTACTAAACAATAACGTAAACATGACAGAAAAGGCTGACTCCAGAATAGTTAAGTGGGACCGGCGGCTTTGGTTTTTTACCTTTCCCTAAGATGAGTGCATGTTTTGTGGTAATTTTTATTTTTTTTCCTGATTAAGTCTACTACAAATATACATGAATGCATAAAGCAGGTTTAATCCTATACCTGATTACTAGGCATTTTCTTTGGATCAGAAACTTCTAATAATATAACACTATTCAGTGGTTTGCAACTTGAATGGATAGAAAAAAAACCCTTCTGTTCTTCCCCACCCCCTCTCCCTTTGCAATAGAAAAACTAGAATTCTCCATTATGCAGATAATTGCTCTGAGATTAAATCTCTCCATTAATTTCCCATACCTATCTCTCCAATAATCAATAACGTACATTTATTCAGTGAACACAAAATAAGGATCTCTCTTACTTGATGTCCTCCAGGGACTCAGTTGTTCTGTGCCGTATGGACGTGTAAACACATGTAGAATATTATACTCTGTCAGAATCTGATACATACTTATCCCCTTCAGAGTCTAATATATAGTGTATAAGAGCATACCTCTACTCACCCTGGGGTGGAATTTCTAAATGCTTAAAACTGCTTAGAAGCTTCATAGATTGAGGCTAAAGTTTATGTCTGTATGAATTTACTTCAATAGCAAGTGATATCAAGTTACCAGGACCAGATTGCATTTTAAGGATATGGTAACAAATATATATATATTATATATAAGTTTTCATTCTATTTATTTTGCTCGAAGCTATATCTAATATTACATTTGGCATTTCAAATGTAATGTTTTTGGTAGAAACTGTCCAGAGAATGATGGTTACACAGATAAGCAAATTGCTTGCAGTTCTGTATTCACACTTTTATTCTGTCTCTTATCAAATATTGATGAGTGAAGAGTATGCCAATGTAATCAAGTAAAGCACTTTTTTTGGTGAATGATTTAAAGGGTGAACGTGTCGCCTTCCCAAAAAATTAGTCCTCTAGCGTTTTTCTTAGTGCAGACATTCAGAAGCCAATAAAACCATTGTTGGACTAGTAGGATGAATGACATGTGCCTGTTACTTAAATGGCTAACTATATTTCCATGAAGAATTATTTTAAAAAAATCTTATGTTTCACATTTTTGCATCTTTAAAACTGCAAAATTCTTACCTGCTTGACACTCAGCCGTCTGATTTGTTCTGGTCTAGAAGGATTAGAAAGCATCCCCCACACTCACATATTCCACATAAACTGCATAGTAATTGTTAAACTTTTGCCCTAGGGACGACCATCAGGAGATTCGTTTATCCAGATGAAATCCGCAGAGCGAGCCTTTTTGGCAGCCCAGAAGTGTCATAAGAAGACCATGAAGGACAGATATGTGGAGGTGTTTCAGTGTTCTGCTGAGGAGATGAACTTTGTCTTAATGGGGGGAACTTTAAATCGCAATGGCTTGTCCCCGCCGCCATGTAAGTTACCATGTAAGTCTGGGTTGTGGGCCTTGCAGCTTCTCTCTGCTTTGAGCTGGTAGGTGCTGGATCTGCTTTCTTTCTTGGTACTTGGTTTATTAAGGGCAAATTTGCTCTTGACAAGGGTTTATTTTACTATGTACCAAATCAACGAATGCAATTCTTTTGGTGAAACATTTCCAGACATTAATGGGATGTCTGTGCTACCCTTTAATCCTTTGCTAGAGGGGTGAGCAATACCACATTTCCCCCCCCCCCCCAAGACTGTTACAGGAGCGCTATAGGCATCTCCTGAAGCAGAGTGGTGACTCCATAATTTACCACTTTTTTACATTTCTTTAAAAATAAAAAAATAAAATAAAAAAAAATAAACTTCACAGACTGCCTAAATTGAGCACTGGTGCTAGCCGCTAGTAGTTTTAGTACACTTTATTTTATACTATGTCCTTTCTATTTTTTTTTTCTTTCTTGTACTTTGTGAGGAATATATTCTAGATATGGTTATAAAACAATTTATAGAAGGCCCTTTTTATTGTTTTTATATATTCCTTAAAGCAGTTTATAAAGTAACAATTCCAATCTTAAAAAAATAATTCAAAACATGTTTAGGGCTGCTATGTAATAGGACTGGTAAAAAGCCAATGGTCTCTGTTTTTGCATCATGTGACTTGGCAGAAGTAAAAGCATGCTGTAGTAACAGATTTAAAAAAGTTGGTGTTAGAATATCGAGATTTGGAATATTGAAATCATGACCGGGCGTGGGCGGGTCTAAAGGTTGGTGATGTGTTGGAGATGTCCAAAATGGGTAATCCGGTCTCGAAAGAGGGCATGATTGACCTCTTCTTTGGCCCTGCTAAGGCAGGGTTTTCTAAAATCTGACCCTCCAGATTTTGCTGAACTAAAACTCCCATGATTCTCTGGCTATCAATTTAATTCAAAGAATTATGGGAGTTGTAGTTAATCAACCTTTGGAGGTTTGACGTTTGGGGAACCCTGTACTAAGGCAAAAGAGCGCCGCTGAAGCAACGAAGGCTGATTTATTAAGGGCAAATTTGCTCTTAGTCTTCTGCATTGATACCTTCTGGTAAAAATGAGAGATGTACAGATGCCAACCAGGGAAATATTGGCAGCCTAAATTTGATAACCTAAGAAACAAATTGGTAATAAAGGAAGTTTTAAACAAACATAAAGATTAATGTTCGTCTTTTTGCATATTCTCAGCCATTTTTATATGCAATCTTAACTGTTAATGGGCATCGTAACCTATACCTCTGGTATAGGTTATTTCAAGGAGCTACCCGTTCTGTCCCTTCCCATTTAAAAAAAAAAAAAAAAAAAAAATCTAAAACACAAGAATAAAATGTATGCTCCATTCGATATGGATGTCAATGAGGATCTCTGTCACACTGACACATTAGCCTGTGCCCACCAGGGAGCACACACAGAATATGCTGGCTCCATTTGGTAGGGTATAAGTAAAATGATGCAGGCACTTTTCCGTGCACAGCACGATGCCTGATGTCCAATTATGTCTCTTCTGCCATGTTGCAGCAGCTCAGAAAGATTTAGCACAAAATCAGACCTAGGGTGGAGAAGAGATCTAGTGTTTCTAAGTGCAGAAACTGTGACTTACTGATTGTATGAGCTATCTGCTTGCAGCCTGAAGCAAACCAGGCATGATCTGGAAAAAATACAATTTAATATGAAAAATATAAATTTTATATATAAATTTAGCTTCTATAATTTTATCTTTTAAATCTAGTCCCTCTTCAACTCTTTGGCACTGAGAAGGTTAGGATATACCATTCCGATCAGAGTAACGAGGTCCGTTACACACTGGAAAGTCATATGTTAATTCCTAATTTTTTTTCCTCTGTTCCTTTAGGTTTGTCTCCGCCATCCTATGCATTCCCTGCACCTGCCGCTGTTATTCCTTCTGAAGCTGCAGCACTGTACCAGCCCTCCCTGCTCCTGAATCCTCGAGGTTTGCAGCCATCGGCCGCCTATTACCCAGCTGGAGCTCAGTTGTTCATGAACTACACAGCATACTACCCCAGGTAACAGGGATTTAAATAAGGAGGGTTGATCCAAAGTTGCTTAAACTGGCTGTCATTTCCTAACCTCAATTGTGTAATAACTCCACTATTATTACAAGGATCAGTTAATTTAGGAAGGTTTTAAACAATATTGTCAAATTGCAAAACAATGGGCAAGAGCAGCTGTACTGGAGAAGTTCTTATTCAGCCACGTTCCCTCTTTGCTAGTTTGGCTTTTATTTGCAATTTTGATAAATGCAGTGTTGAATTTTTTTCCCTGCATCTGAATGCATTGTGTTATATTGGCACAGGCGTAATATTAGTGCATCACCAATCGGATTTGTGACTCGATCCTGCTATAATGATGTCCTGTATCAGATACAGGATGGAATGAACTTCTATTGTGTTTCTCAAAAACTTTACTGTAGATTGGATTAGCTGTATTGGTCCAGTAGACAAGATGCCAAAATACCAGATTATTTGCAGTATGCTTATTGACTCTCCTCTGTTTATTTACTTTTTCTGGCTTTTCTCACCCAACCTATACCTTTCGTTTTCAGGCACATCTTCTGCTATTTATGACACCTCACACATCCCCCTGCCTCCCTTTCTCTAACATAAAGTTTAAGTCTATCAGATTGATCAGTATTGCTTCAGACCTGAGGAAGAGAGGACAACTCTTGAAAGCTTGTCCTTGAAATATTATGTTAGTCCAATAAAAAAAGTATCATTGCATAGTGCAATACTCTGGTATTTTGGCATCAAAAACTTTACAAATATTTGATTTATTATGTCACCAGTGACAAATCCCCTGAGACAGGGCCGGCCTTAGGGGTGTGCGAGCTGTGCGACCGCACAGGGCGCCATGGAACAGGGGGCGCCCTGTGGCCGACACAGCTCACTCATGGCCGGAGTGCAGGGGAGCTAAAAGAGGTACCTGGCTGGAGGATTAATTGTTCTCCACCCAGGTCTATTTAAAAAAAAAAAAAAATCGCGGCAGAGGGGGCGGGGTTTACCGAGCGGCGGAGGCGGGGCTTATCGAGAGGCGGAGACGGGGCTAATACCTCCCGAAGCCCCTGCTGTACAGGAAGAGGGAAAGATGCTTCCCCATCAGCCAACTGCATCCACTGGAAAGAGGTAAGTGTGTGTGTGTGACTGTTTGCCTGTTTGTGTGACTGTCTGTGTGTGTGTGTGTGTGTGTGTGTGTCTGTCTGTCTGTGACTGCCTGCCTGTGTGCGTGTGACTGTCTGTGTGTGTGTGTGTGTGTGTGACTGTCTGTGTGACTGCCTGTCCTTGTGTGTGTGTGTGACTGTCTGTCTCTGTGTGTGTGTGTGACTGTCTCTGTGTGTGACTGTCTCTGTGTGTGACTGCCTGCCTGTGTGTGTGACTGTCTGTGTGTGTGACTGTCTGTCTGTGTGTGTGACTGCCTGTGTGTGTGACTGCCTGTATGTGACTGCCTGCCTGTGTGTGTCTGTCTGTAACTATCTGTCTGTGTGTGACTGCCTGCCTGTGTGTGTGACTTTCTATCTGTGTGACTGCCTGCCTGTGTGTGTATAACTGTCTATGTGTGTGTTACTGTGTGTCTGTCTGTGTGTGTGACTGCCTATGTGACTGTCTGTCTGTGTGTGTCGCTGTAGCTGTGCCATTGTTTGTGCCTGTGCCTGTATGTGTGACTGCCTTTAACTGAGTGTGTGTGTACATGCCTGTAACCGAGTTTAAATTTCCCCCACCCCTTCCTGTCAAGGCCGCACTTTGACTGACAGACGCTCACTCACTGACAGACGCACACTCACTGACAGACACACACTCTCATATACACTGACAAACAATGACATACACACATACACTATTACTTGGACACACACTGACAGATGCACACTCTCACTGACAGACGCAAGCACTCACTGAAAGATGCACGACTCCACTGACCGACACATACACACTGACTGACACACACTCACTGACCGACACACACTCACTGACCGACACATACACACTCACTGACCTCACTGACACACACTCACTGACGACACATCACTGACGACACATCACTGACGACACATACACACTCACTGACTGACACATACACACTCACTGACTGACACATACACACTCACTGACTGACACATATACACTCACTGACCAACACACACATTCACTCACAGACACACACACATTCACTTACAGACACACACAATTACACACTTACAGACACACACACACACACACACATTCACTTCAAAATAAACACTCACAGACACACACACAGACATTTCCACTAACACTCACAAACTAATATTTTTTACATTTATTTTAAATCCACCCAGCCTCCCTGGGAAAGCTGGAGTGGATTTCTTACCAGCAGTCCAGTGTGGCTGCTGGGCAGGCAGGCAGGGGGCGCACAGGCTGAGTAAGCAGCGCTTAGTGATGCCGGGAGCCGGACTGACGTCATATTCTGGCTCCCGGCTTCATTAAGCGGCGCAGAGGAAGCTGAGCAGGAAGAGCTCAGGTGAGTATGCTCCTTCGCTGCCCGCTGCCAGCCTTGGGGGGGCTCAAAAGTGGCCAGCCGGTCAGCTCTTGAGCCCCCCAGGATGCGAGGCAAGCAAGGGATCTGCCTGGGGGTTTGGAGGGATGCTTTTTTTTGCCGCCCCCTGCAAAGTGGCGCCCAAGGCAGATGCCTTGTTTGCCTCGTGATACACACGTCCCCGGTGCCTGTGTGTGTTACTGTATTCAGGCAACTTGGTGGGAGGTGGGGGGGGCGCCGTGAAGACTTTTTGCACAGGGCGCCTAATTGCCTAAGGCCGGCCCTGCCCTGAGAACTCAAACAGTAAGTATGGCTCACATTTTTTTTTTCTCACTGCAACCAAACCTGCCAGCAGTAGGAGATAAGAAAGTGGAATGGGATAGTCCATTTTGGAACATGTGCAATGTTCCTCATTGTGAGCAAGTGGTTGGAAAGGAGATGAGGGCAAGCTTAATCCCACCATTCATACATCATAAATGCTGTCTTCAGGATTTCTCCACTGGTTTTGAACAAACTCATACTATTGATGGTGGATCAGACACCTCCCCATAATATGTAATTTACTATATGTACACTAAATTTACCAGCAATGCATCATAAACCTTATGATACAGAGAAAAGCTTAACTTTGATTTTCTTTTTCGTATTCATTTACTTGTATTAAAGTTTGTTTTTTTGTTTACCAATGAACAATAATGTTGGTAGTAATAATAATTCTGAAATTTAAAAAAAAATGTCCAAATCTAAAGCCATTTGCATAATTTGGATCCCCGTCCTTAAATGGTTAAATGAACACTCCAAGCACCATCATTTAGGGCATGCTGTTATGGTGCCCTCAAGGGGTATGTAGACAAATCGATGCCAAATCCTCTCAGCCAATGAGCTCTTCCCTGGACAGTCGTGCTTAGCTTAGTGCAGAATCTTCTGACTGCGGAGGTGATAGCACATTCCCAGCAGATCCCTAGGTATGTTGTCAAGGGTGTAGTACACTGCTCCCCAACACAGTCCTCGTGAACCACCATCAGTCCAGGTTTTGTCACTTTCTCCATTGGAATTAAACTAGGAAATACATAAATCCTGGACTGTTGGTTGTTTGTAGTGTTCCTCTAAAAAAAAAACCCCCCAAAAAAACAGATTAAAAAAATGTTTACAAAATGTTAGTGTGTGTGCAGTTAAGACACACGCATTATTAAAAAATCCTAAAATACTGAACAGTGTTTAATATTAAGAATACTTCTTTCTGTGTATTTACAGCGAATATTTCTTATAATTTTTTTTAACCATTTTACATAAAGGCGGTGTGAAGGAGACTTTGTAAAAAAATGTTAGCGATTCTAATCCATTGTGTGGGTCACTGTAATATTGGTCCTAGATAAATTATCAGAGATCGTGGTGGTCTTGGACTGGCACACACAGAGGATTTATACAATGTTGCTTAGGTGCTCGTCACAGAAGCCTGGGTAACCCAGTAGCTGTAGACTGCTAATGAATTGGCAATTGAGGCAATGCCACTCTCCTTAAAACCATATATTTAAATTCAAGGCCATGGAATGGCAATAAGCAGTTAATGGCAGAGCGAGCGGCAGTAAATCTTTAGCAGTAAAAGCTTCTGTAATGAGCAGACATCCTTTGACCTGCTAAATAATTGCCCTGCAGTGAAAATGCTTGTGTCCAAGGTCAGGTGTTCCTCTCCAAGGTCTGTAGCCTCCTAGCAGAGTTTGGAGGAATGTCGCTTGTCTGTAGGAGGGATGTGCTAGGGCTCAATAGGACGGAATGTTTTTTTCGGTGGTTGTTCGGGGAGTGGTTCTATAAAGGGAAATTCTCAGATTTAGGTTAGCGCAAACTTTTATAAATGTTGAGGTATAGAAATGTACATTTTTGACAACATATACCAAGTGGCGGTTTCATATATTCTGCCTGTTCATGATAGTAGCATGCATATTTCATATCCCAAACTTATTCCAACTCGCTCACAATTGTAGCATTACTGTAGCTTTTACAGGTCTAAACAAGGAGAAACTTTGTTAAAAGGATGACCTGGCTACCAAATTAAAACTTCTGTTTAGTTTTAGGAGACAGGAGAGTAGCTCAGAGTGTGTAGACCTCTAAGGCTCCACAATGGAATAAGTGACAATGGCAACATGTAATTGTCTGTATTCATATTCAAGAAAAGTGTATTTTTGTATATTTCGTATATCAGACTCTGAGCTTAGTATTGCAAGTCACTATTTGATTTTTTTTTTTTTTTGCCCCTTCTTTCTAACAAACTTAAAGGGACATACATTATTTTTAACCGTAGATTCAGTCCCAATCTTTTTTGTAAAAATGTCTAATTTAGTACAGGGACCTTTCTTCTTGCTGCCTCTTGATCTGTCTTCAATGATGGCATCAGCCATGATGATCTAGGTCTAATCTCATGCTTTCTGCAGCAAACTGGACTTGTGATTGATTCATTTATTTGAAGTGGTCATGGTGCCTGGAGTCTGTATGTGCAGCTTTTCTCTTTGAAACCCTGCACAAATAGAGATTAACCCCCTCTGCTGGTGGAGGTGTAGCTCCACCTCAAGCACCATCATAGTGGTGTCTTCAGCCAGCCTGGAACTAGAGTTCTGGCAGGCCTATGTTATTTTTGTGCAAAACTGTACATTTCATGCCAGGACGCAAACCTGCTTGTGCCAGATAGTCACTGGCGGCCCAACACTCCCACACCCCACCTGCCCCTTTCCTCCTTTAAGTCTGCTCTGCTTTGCCTTCTTCGCCCTCAGGCGAGGGGGGAAGTGAAATCAATGGACAAAGAACAAGCTGAGGTAGATCATCTTCTAAGCATTTAAGAGATTTTTTTTTTTAAGTTGAGGAGTTGAGCAGACCAGCAGGACAAGGGTTACTTTAACCAAAAAACATTGTTTTATGAAAACAGCGTGTTTTTGTTATTATTTTTATTTGGGTTGAAGTGAGTCTTTTTTAAAACAGAACGGAAGTGGCAATGGAAACTTTTTATTTTATATTTTTAATCCATTTTATTTCTAGAGTATTTCTTTGTATTAAAACGATTCCATTAAGGTGTAACTGTGCTGTTACTTTACATAGCGATAAACTCCAACAGAGGCCCAATCCATTCATCATTCCAACGGTTCATACGAGTTGGTTAGGATCCAGACAATACAAAAAAAAAAAAAACAATGTCTTAACGTTCTTTAGCCGACTGAGATGCATTCTTCACCCTTAATATTGCAAACAGTTAAGCCTTTTATTTTCATCAAGAAGTCATGGTTTTAAAGTTGAAAAACGAATATTCTATCCAATTTACAGAGCTTAGAAAATAGACCTTCTTCACTGATTTAAAGCCAGGAATCAGACGTTCTGTGCTCCACTTTGATAGAAAGTCTGGTGTGAAATGACCTGCTACTCTCAATGCAGGAAAAATCACCCAGGTGTCGAGTTTCCTATCTGTGCTTCCCTTAACGCTTGCTTCATTATTTCTGATCTGTCTCCTGACCAGCCATTCAGAACATAAATCAACAAAGGCTACACTCCCTTTTTAATTGTCATGCAGCCCACGCCTGAGCTCCAGGGATAAGTTACTTATGACTAGTAAGCACCATGTCTGCCACTGTCATGTAGCCACATGTTTGCTAATTGCTTTGTTCTTTCTGTGCTTCTGTTAGTGAAACATTAAAAAGCTAAAACTACACAGCCGCTAACAGATCCAGTGTCTTACATTTGTTACGTTTGGGTTGGTTGAAAATGTACGTGGCTGCGGAAACACACATTCTGTCACTCTGTGGTTATTTGATTATTTTTTGTTTTAAATGTATTTATTTGATATGGATGGTTCCTTCTAATTTCGTTATTTTTTTTTAAAGGGATACTATGCCAAAACTCCCCTTCACCCCCAAGCATGCAGGCCAGTGGTAGTTCTGTCGCTCATAAGACTGTATGGACAAAAAACTGATTCCTTAAGCTGTCTTTTTTTTTTTTTTTTTTTTTATTATCAATTTTGTTTTGGTCTTTGGTACCCCTTTTGAGGCCCTTAATTATGTGTTTGCAAGCATTGTATGCATGATAGTATTTGTCTGTATTTTTATGTTTGTGTGTGGTGTGTTTTTTGTTTTTTTTAGTAGACCTTAAAACCTTGTTGACTGTAAAAATTTGAGCATGTAATTTGTAAGTTACAGAATTGGGTTTTCTGTTCTCTTGATTTGTCAACTTATGTCCTTCTTTGAAAGGACACTCTAAAAGACTCCTGAAATACTTTAGCTTGTAGTGCTTTGTGTGAAGAGTGTGTGCCCTTTTTTGTAAAATCGGTAGGAGGGGGAGGAAAGTGTCCCTTGAAATTGGCACTTTTATAAATTAACCTTACGCCCCCCTGGCTGTCAATCTGATAAATGAGCCAGTTACTTCCTGGTTGTTTCTCTCAGTGGAGTTAAACTCAAGAGGCAGGAAGTTGCCCAGAGCACCTGCCTTGCTAAGACTTCATATTGATTGGACAACTGTAAACAATCTGTGATATGGGGGGGGGGGAGAAAGGGGCTTGCAAAGGCTTCAGACAAGTGATCTACAGGTTTTGCAAGCTGTTTTTAGATATACCCCTAATGAAAAAATGAGTAATTAAATGCATGCATGTTTCAGTTTAGCATATTTTTTACTAAACAGTTATTTAAAAAAATAATAATAATTTTTGGCAGAGGAGTGTCTCTTTAACTGTCTTGGCCTGGTGCTCTGGCTTTGGCTGTGAAGGGTCTCCCCTAGAGCTGGCCAGAAGATCAATCTCCTTGCTCTGCCATGATCCCCCTCACTTTGTAAAGGTAGAATTGTGGCCTGCACCATTATAGGGTGCAGACCACTTTAAGAGCTTCCTTGTGGTCCCCTATGACTGAGTGCCAAAGTCGACATTCGGTGTCATCAATTGAGTGATGGAACCATGATGGAGCTCTTAAAGTGCTCTGTGCCCAATTTTGTAGAAGACTACAATGTTCCCACACTGTATCACATTGGGGGGAGGGGAGAAACTATTATGACCAGTTCCTTAGTCCTTCATAACTTCACTGTGGATGAGTAAGCACTGGTTCTTCTGGTTTTGAACAGAAACCTACATACGTTTGTAGTTCATCAGCTGACTAGTAATTAATATAGCACTGGGCGTTTGTTCCTGATGGGTTTTGTTTCTGATAGTTGGTTTTGTTTTTGTTTTTTTCAGCCCACCTGGTTCTCCTAGCAGCATTGGCTTCTTCCCAGCAGCTGCCAGCACTAGCGCAATGCCTCCTCATGGTGGAGCAGCTATGGTGCGCATGCAAGGACTGGCATACAATTCTGGCGTCAAAGAGATTCTAAACTTCTTTCAAGGCTATCAGGTATATGTGATTTGTTATATGCTGAAATTGGATTAGACTAACATGTTTGAAAATGTTTTCGTGAGGGAATGTGAATAAATTATGAAGGCACACGATGTAAAATGTCTAAAATGTTTTTTGTTTTTTTTTTAAATACGTTTAACAGTACAATGAACTATGAAATGTTGTGTGGTGGGTTATTTGTTTGTTTGTTTTTTTTTGTGTGGCCAAGGTGTTATCTTGCCATTTGTCTAGGACTGGGGGAATCAACCTCCAGCACTTCATATGTTGTGGACTTCATCTCCCATGATGCTCTATCATGCTAGCTGAAGATAAAGTCCACAACATATGGAGTGTTGAAGGTTGCCTTGGTGAATGTGTGGCTGCACAGCCTCCTGATTTTGGTAATTAATTGGCCACAAAGTACATTAAAACAAAAAGCGATGATCTACTGTCTCTTCAAAGCCGTTTTCACACTGTTTACAAAAAGCTCCATGCTTAATATGAATGCAATCCATAAACTATTTGTACATTTACAGGAAATTTAAATCTGCATTGATTTGATTGCTGATTTATTTGCATTGCTATTTGTGTGTCGGGAGGGGGAGGGGGAGTTCTTCTTCCCTTGACTGTTCAGTTGAATAGTTTTTTAGGCATAAACTGTGTTGCACTTTACAGGAGTTCTTACTCCACTGTGTTTTTTTTTTTTTTTATTCAGTATGCACCAGAAGATGGTCTTCTGCAAGTAAATGACCAAACAAGGGCCCTGCTTACTCACCCTAAGGAATGGGTGTGTATTTAGAGGACCTGCAAGTGTTTAGACAAGGTATGGAAAAGCAAACACTATTTTTTAAAAGAAAAAAAAATATTTTTTTAATATAATTTGTATTTTATTGAATTTTATGCAAAAACATTCACATCAGAGTATTGGTGTTAAGGAAAAAAAGTCACATAACATAATGTATGGGGCATTGCAGGTGGGGTACTCTGTGCACACCACAATTTTAAATTATTTTTTCCCCTGATATGGGGGTTTTGTTACACCTTATTTGTACAGCGCTATTAAAAATAAATAAAAATGATGATAGACACAAGCTGCCTGCTTGCGCATCCACCTTGTATATTGTTTGTGCAAAGTTTTAAAGTGTTTTTGAATAGTGGGTGAGTCACAAGATGTGGCAGTGATGTGCCACAATATTTTATAAACCCATTAAATGGCTGTATTAAAAAAAAAAAAAAAAAAAAGTTAAGAAAATCATTTACTTTAAAGGGGGTTTCCTGTTGCCTATTGTACTTCCTCGCTAGATTTGAAAATTACGTTGGTTATATTAACATGTGGCATTGCAGGTCTCCAAAATGTTTATATGTAAATGCATTAAATTTGTCGCACATTTACAGGTAACATTTTAACATAGTTTTTAATTTTAATTTTTACCCTTTTTTTTTTTTTCCATATAGGTTCTATAAGACTGATTCTCTGTAGATATCTGACTTGCCAAACAAGCTTCCAATACCATACTTTATTTTTTTGGGGGGGTTTTTTCTGACCATTTACCGACCAATCCATGCAAGAAAATTTGGATGGCTAAAACATTTTTGCGAAAATCTCCATCAGACAGTGTGACGTCTATTACTTCTGGACCTAAATGGGGAGCGGTCAGTCAACAGAGGATCAATTAAATGGACACACCGATCACTGTGTAGCCTGGGTAATCCCCCTAGATTAAAACTGTCCATCAAAGTGCATTGCAAGATGGCGTTTAAAAGGGGCTAACTCAAAATGACTTGAGATCTATTTATGCAACTGACTAAATTGTGAACTGTGCACTAGGAGCTTCTATTGTGACACTGGTGCACGATTTACCTTTCCAGGCAAAACAAACAATGAAATGCAAAGGCATATAAATCGATCTAGAATTATATATGAAACAAACTAGGTGTAATAAAACCTTTTCTGAATGTCCCTGCTAATCCTTTTTCACTGTGCAATTAATTGTGTTCATACAGATTCTTTTTTTTTTTCTTCTATTTGAGCTTTTATTTGACTACCAGACCAATTAATTTTACTGCATTTTTAGGTCTGGACTGCAAGTCAGTTTTTTTTTTTTTTCTTTTTTTTCTAAGCCTTGTGTAACCCTTGGAGTGTAATTGGGTGTGTACAAAGCTTTTCTGTGACCCTCAATTATTTAGTGTTTTTTGGCAAAACACCCTAATGCATGCACCCCTCCCCCATCCCCAAGATACATTCATTACTGAAATTGGACTCATCTCATTGTTTTGTTTTTTTTCTTACCTTTTGACTATTATTCTTTTCTCAAAAAACAAAAAAATTACAAAAAAAAATCAGTTTCTTGGAAAACTAAAATAGTTTTACCTGTGAGTCTTCTACTGCTCGCACGATAATGCACTCTTTGTTTTGTCATAAATCCTTTGTTACATTATCTTTTTTATGTATTAATGTGTATATATTGACAATAGCTTATGAGCAGTGAATTTATTATGTGATGAAACTACTGCCTATAGATGGACTAAGTTCAATTAATTATTGTCTTTGAACCTGCATTATTTAAATAATTTCAACCGTTGTCCACGGAGATCTAATAAGGTTTAATGCCCAAAAGATTAACTCTTCCATCAGTGTAAAGTGTCTGGCTAAAGTGTTTCTCTTTTTTTTTTTTTTTTTAAACCACTATGTTAAGTTTGTGCTATGACGCAAAATAAATTGTTTAAAATTATCTAAAATAGTTTGGCTTCCCTATGCCTGTTCGAAGCACTCAAATTTGGATATTGTAAAATCCTTAATCAGTGGTTTCAAGATGGCTGTGCTTTATTTTTAGACAAAATAAATTTTGGCAAAACTTGTGATGTCGAACCAATTCACATTAAACTCCGTTTTGTTCTTGTTTTGTTTTAAACCGTGTATATAACTTTCCGAGATGACTGTGTACCACGTGTTAATGTGTTCCAAATAAATTCTTTATGTGCTTAAGGATGTGTTTATAAGATGCGGATGTGTTCATCTAAAATGGGAGGGGTGGGGGAGTTGTCAGATTGTGACTCTTTACCTGCCTGTATCCTGTAGAGAATTTAGGCGTTGTAGTTTAACAGCAGCAAGAAACTTCAAATTTAATAATTGCATTAATGAGCATAGCTACAAAATACAACATGCGAACACTATCTTCGCCGGGCGGAAAATTCGTGTGACGAGGTGAGCATGCCGTGGTATTTGTGCCATAAAACATATTTCAGCTTGATAGAAGAGACTGGGAATTATTTTTATTTAATTTGCTTGTTTTCTGCTGTGTTCAATATGCCAGTAGACCTATGCAAAGCTCAATTAATAATCCCAATGATATATTTTATATTCAACTGGAACGAACATTCCATAATGATGATAGCACTATATTCGATTAATAATGTGTATGCTAAAATGATTGACTCATTGGTATTGGTTAGCCAATCGGAATCCGACTCTAACAGCCGGAATACAGCGATAACACCGTTAAATGTCAATTCAATCCATTCACAGCACTTGCAAAATGATGGCTTTAGACCATTGCTCTCAAATGCCCACCTCTCTGTTACTCTGTGTAGGTTACATACACTCTTAATGCATGAATTAAATGCTTTATTTTATTTGATCATGTGGCCTTTGCATGGTTAATTGACAACCGTTCTAATCACTGTGAAGAGTTACTGCAAACTAACCCTAAAACTGTCAATAATATGTTTATAAATGTGTAGCATTTTTCTGTTCATCTTGTACATAAATAGGACCTCACGGGTCATTTTGTAAAATGTACTCAAGATTAAGATTTTATTTTTAGTATAGTTATATAATTTTTTTTAAATGTTTTTTTTTTTTTAAATGCCTTTTTATTTCCTTCTACAATCTTCACATATCTATTTTCTGGTTGGCTTTGGTTAGTCATCATTTCGGATCTCTGATTTATATTTAAAAAAAAAAAAAGGTTTTATTTTTTATTTTTTTTATATATACATGTATCTTTGCTTTCTCCTATGTGTGGTGTACATGAATAATTTATGAAGCAATTCTGCAGATACACCTGTGCAGTCCATCAATATTTGCTTTTGAGTCGCATGCCAAAGGATTTCTGTAGTATACATCCCGATTTATTTAATAAAATAGCCATAAATCGTAGGTACAGAATGTGCATTTCTTTCATCTCTTCTAAGGGGGCTATATTTAAGTGCCATATTAACTTGGCATGGCATTACACAGTAAAAGACCTTTCCGTGCAACTTGTGTTTTTACGTGCTCCAGTTGAAGAAAATGGTGTATTTAATATCTCCTCTTTGTTTGGGAGATCTGCTGATAAATTGTGTATAGTCATCTAACATTGTAACAAGAATCAAATCGTATTGGCTGGAGAATTTGGTGGTTGTTTGGGATTGTTTATTTTTAAAAACCTTTCCAGAATTCTATGCACAAAGTCAAACATGAGTCTGTTGTAATCTTGTGGATATGAATGTAGATTATTCTGCTACTTCTCTGCAAAAAGCACAATGTGAACACAAGCTTTCAGTTCAAAGTGGGGAAAAAAAATCTGATACAATTTAATATTTTTGAGACTTCAATTAAGTTTTAGAATATGGATTTTTATTATTTTCTTCCTTAAGATCTCACAACAAGCTGTTCAAAGAATAAACTCAATTGTGTTTTTATTGGCTTTTTCATTGTATATTCCTTTTGAATCACCACTGTAACTTCATTCAAAACTGGCTGCTTACAAAGTATTTCCTATGTAATAAAAAATTTAATCCGAAGAAGAGAATGTAGCGTGGACTCCTTCAGTCGCTCAATTGGTTTAGTTACACTTTCTTTTTGAAAGAAAGTCATGTTTAAAAAAAAAAAAAAAAGCAATAATCTATCTATTGCAATTTGATGACAATTGTCTAGGAAGACTAGTCTTCAGTACTGACTTATTACATTTAGTAATTTATGTACAATGTATAAATAATAATGTATTTTGTCCTAAGTGTAACACTGCCTGAAAACATTTTGTAGCTATTGATATATAGACTGTCATTTTTGTATAGATGTATTTCAAAATAAAAGTACATTTTTTTTCTTTATCAGTTATCTAAGTAACTTTTCACCTCTAACTCCTGCTCCTTTATTGAGTGAAAAACATTGAAGCCTGTAGTAGAAAGCACAACTGTTTTTTTGTTTTTTTCCTTAGGAGGTTTTTGGGTCATTTTTAGAGGAATTGTCTTAATTTTTAAAGAAAGTGGCCTCTTCAAATAAACTGTATAACTTGAATTTCCAACCTGCTCTCTTGGGCAAACTACATTAAACCTTGTGCTTAGATGCTAGGATTGCCACCTGGCTGGTGTTTTGCTGTCACCATTGCCTGTCCAGTGCCATTTTTCTAAAAAATTTAAAATTAAAAATTAAAATCCTACCGGCAATGCAAATACTGATATTTTTCTTTTGATAGACTCTGAGTTATGTGAGAAATGGAACCTATTATACCTAGCAGGTGCAGCCTGTATAATCCCAGTGATCTACACAAACTTAGACAGTGTGTGCATAGTGTGTATGAGTGGTGTCAGTGTGTATTTTTTTGGCTAAGTGTGTGTATAACAAAGTATACACACGGACACACACTGTTGCACATACTTAGACAAAGTATGCACATTCAGACACTGTATTGATGCAGGTACAAACACACAGTATATGCACAGCAATTGGCACATTCAGACACTATTGATGCAGGTACAAACACACAGTATATGCACAGCAATTGGCACATTCAGACACTGTATTGATACAGGTACAAACACATAGTATATGCACAGCAATTGGCACATTCAGACACTGCATTGATACAGGTACAAACACACAGTATATGCACAGCAATTGGCACACTCTGACACAGTATTGACAAACCTGGCTACACAAACACAATGATGCATGCCAGATCACATAGTGAACACATTGTACGTTTTTTTTTTGTAGTATATTGAGGAATTTTTTTCTGCCGTGAGTGTTTTTTCCCACCTTTTATGTCACTCTGTTTGTTAACATCTGGTGATGTCATGTTCCTATAATAATGCAAATTAGCATGGCTGGTAACTAAGAAATGTGGCAAGCCTATAGATTTAAGATCCCTTTTGTAGGGCCTGTACATAATACAATGTCCTGGAATTGACTTCTAGAATTGTTTTCCACTTGCCCATTGTTTTCTTGATGAAGGCTCTTATTGTCTTGATGACCTTGTAGAGAGCCAAGCATTCCAGTATCCATGTGTGTGGCATTGTGTTTCTTGCATAGGCTTTCTTGTAGTGCACAGATTGGTCTGTCTGGTCTTAGAATCCCCTGTGACTGCTTGGTCTACCAGTATTTGGTGTTGTTTCCAACCCCCTTCGGAGTATTTGCTCATATATTGACTCCAATGCCCTTGGATCTTGGAGGCTATGATTGCCTGATAGGCGTATCCATGTTGTGGGGGGGGCAGATTATTGGTTGGTAGTTGGATGGTCTTGTTCCCGCTAGTTCATTTGTGCTGCTAGGCGTTCATGCAGCGCTGTTAACTTCTTTATCCAGTAGTTGTGGATCATGTCAGGTCCTGAGGTTGACCAACTCTTCATGTGTGCTCTTCATGTGCTGCTATTTGTTTGACTGTGATGGTGACTGGTTCCTGTTCTGGCAGCATGCAGTGGTCTAACTTCCGGTCTAGTAGCCACTGGGTCTGTGTTATGAGATGCTTTTTTTTTTTTTCCCCCAAGAGATTGTTATTTATATAGCGCCATCAAATTCCTCAGCGCTTTACAATGAGTGGACGAACAGACATATATAGTTGTAACCAGAGAAGTTGGACACACAGGAACAGAGGGGTTGAGGGCCCTGCTCAATGAGCTTACATGCTAGAGTGAGTGGGGTAAAATGACACAAAAAGTTAAGGATAGTATTAGACTAATGACAGTTGCAAGAGCGGAATCAGTCGGGAGCTATTAACAGTTTAATGGATACGCTTTTATGAAGAAGTGGGTTTTTTAATGAATTTTTTTTTTTAAGGTGTGGAGACTGGGTGAGCATCTAATGGAGGAGGGAAGAGAGTTCCACAGGAACGGTGCAGCCCTCGAAGTCTTGAAGGTGAGCATCAGCAGTGGGAGTACGGACAGAAGGTAGACGTGAGTCTTTAGATCGCAAGGGCCTAGACGGGACATACTTGTGTATTAGGGAGGATAGATTTTAAATTGAGCACTATATCTTACAGGAAGCCAACATAGGGAGTGACCGAAGGATGAGGCGTGGGAGGTGCGGGCAGACAGGAAGATGAGCCTCGCCCCCGCATTCATTATGGACGCAAGTTGGGAGCACATAATTCTTCCAGTACTTTTCAGTCTCCTCTCTTGCGAGGAAATGTGGTTACCCTGATGGTTCTTTTGGTAAAGACATTGATTCTCTTAGCCTCTGCGTCTCTGGTGTATCTGCTCAGTCTGGTTGTAGGTCTTTTCTTAGCTGTTTCCTGCACCTCTGGTGTGTGTGTGTGTGTGTATGTATTTATATTCCTTGATGGTCCGGCAGGTACAGTCCAATTGTATTACACTTTCTGCTGTTTTTTCACGGAAACTCTAGTTCAAGCAATACATGTGGTCTGTACTCTTCCCATTGGTCACGGAGCCCACACTCTGGGCTGCCACTCTGGTAGAGCTGGTCCTACAAGATCATTGTTATCCTCCAATGGACAGTCTGGGCATGCCTGTTCATCCTCCTTTTTGTGCTTGTTTCAAAATCACTTTATGGGGCACAGTATGACTAGCTGTGCATGATAGGTCATATAAAATCACTAATTCATTTTAAGCAAATATTGACTAGTTGACAGCACAATTTAATGTTTTAAAATGGGGGACCCCTGGAATTTCCATACACCTTGTATTAGATCTATAGCTATGATCCTCTTTCTACCAGTAAGTCTGGGACAGAAAAAGTAACGATAATCCAAACGCTTCCTCCCCACCAAAAAACCCCAAAACTAAATTGGGGGAAAAAATAAATCTCCCAAATACAGAAAACAGATCTTTTTTTTCCAATCGTCCGTGTATTACGGGTGAACTGAAAACAAGGTTGTAATACAGCATACTTGTAGGCCCTGTGTAAAGCTCTGTTATAAATCAAAATACATTCTGGTATTCTCTACCTTTGTTCCATCAAGGCCTCGCTCATAGATGGCACAGATTTCTTATACACATTCTCCACAGTTCAGAATGGGAGGCTCTTGACCGTTCCCTAACAATCCTTTCCTTTAATACAGTGCCACTTTGTCCATCGTATTTGCCTTCCTTTCTAATGGGTTATAAACCATAACAGATACCGGAAGCCAAGCACAAGAACGCAAACCTAAAATGTGAGAACTAGAAGGAAAATGTGCTGTGTTCAGGGCACAACTTAGATGAGCTTCAAGTGGAGTTGATTGTCTCGTCTTGTGGAAGAGTCATGGTGATATTACGGATTCTTTGACTTCTGTTATGAATGACTATTTTAACTTTTTTGGTCTTGGTTTGCCAATAAAGTGTGCAGCTCTGTTCATTGCCACATTTTGACAAACGTTTGCACTTCTGTAAGATAACGTAGTCGCCATACATCCTTACTTTGGATGATTCTTTTAGATCAAAGGTGAGAGACACCCTGTAGTACACGGCGTGGTTCTTGGCACAAGTGGTGGCAGGTCGTGACCCCTTGTGGCACATGTCTCGGTAATTGTGCAGTATTTTCAAATCCAGACACCTCTTTGATTTGAGTGGGAGGGTTGTGGGGGTGACGCGATATGCCAGCATTTAGTTTTGTTTAATTTTAATTCGTTTTGCTTTGTTCAGTCTTCCAGTTCATTAAGCTTAGTGTGGTTTCATACAATTACTGGATCTTTCCAACCATCCGTGGGTTGTCTACCCTACACCTACTCAGATCTCTGGGACTATTGTAACTTCCCACTGACTTGTACCTTTCCACCTCTAGCAAGCCACAAGTATCCTCTCCATTAACACAAAAATTGTAGCTACAAGTTATGTAACTATTAAGCTGCTTATGTACTGTATCACATGCCAATGGCTCTATCGGCTTTCATGACCATTATGGGGTATACTGTGGCCTAGTAGACAGCATTACAGAGTGGATATTGCCTTAGATTCACAACAAGGTATCATGGGAAGTACATTCTTATCTTCCTGAATTCCCAGTGGAACCCTTTTTAGACCCACCACATTATTATTAAATGTTCTAATACCTGGCTCTATATCTAACCATTCAGTTGTGATGTGCATCCCTTTTCTAATACCTAGTGAGCTATCGTGTGGACATTTCTTGGGGCACTGTAGTGATCACACAGACTGTGATTTACGAACACAATAATAGGACTGGACATTGGAGTTCCTTTTTTTTTTTTTTTTTTTGAGTTTTACACACGGTTTCTTATGGGAAAAGTAAATGTTCAATGTGCCAACTGCATTATCACCATTGTTATTATAATTGTTTAGGTTTCTATGATTAATGCTTGCCATGTATGCCATGCATTTTATATTCTCAATACAAAAATTGTATTTGGGGGAAAAAAAGAAATGCATAGACCATTACTGATTAAAGTTTTGCAAGGTGAACAATCTTCAGTTTAATATCTCATAATTGAAAAACAATTTAAATTGTTTAGTTTAATGACTATAACAACATCCATAGTCATCTATTTGCTTCAACCTATCTGAAACTGCAATGGATTGCCCTCTTACCTGACCCCCCCCCCCCCGCCTGACGCAAAGCCTTCTTTCTCAATGGCTCAAATACTGCTGCCGAAGGTGGAGTTACACCTCTGACAACAATCTAAAATATCGCAATATGCGTACCATACTGAAAATGTACACATACAGACTCTAAGAAGCATGGCTCAAATCACTGAAGTGGTCATGGTGTTTGGAGTAACTCGAAGTTAATGTGTTCTTTGTGTGTACATAGATTTTCAGAATAACAATGGGATGACTGTATTTTTCCTGAACGTTACATGATAATTTTATAAAAATTTTGCGTGAAAAGGTGCATATTCTCTCTGCAGACACAAGTAATTA